AATTAAGGTCAGGGAGAGGAAGCAGTTTGCCCAAGAGCACAGATAGAGTCAGTGGCAGAACTGGGACTCCCCTGGAGAGCCCTGTCTCCCCTGCCTGGACCCCCTTGTTGCCCCAGGGCTGTGCGGGTGCTCGGAGGCCTCCTGGGCCTGTGGACCCAGCATCCTGGAGATGGCAGGGAGCTGGATCTCCAGGTGATGGATGAGCATGCAGTGAGGTCCTGTTGGATGTGGGACCTCGAGCCTGACCTCACTAACCTTTATGGGGCTTCAGTCTCTGTGCCTGGCACTTCCTGTGTGCTATGCATTTTAGGAATACTCTTTCACTCGAGTTACACGATGCCCTGTGAGGTAGGTACTATTATCTGGGGAGAAATGTGGTGCCCTCCCATGGTAGGCCCCGAGGTTCCTGAAGCTACAGTTCTATAATCAGCCCCTCCCCCATGTCAGCATGCCCCCTTCAGTCTCCCCCTCCAGGATGGTAGGAGTCTTTCCACCAGCTGTGATCTCCACCCTCCGCCCCTTCCTGCCTAGCACGGAGCCATTCCAGGACAAGCCTATGGACCACTTTGCTAGGCCTGTTTGTCTTGGCTCCTTCTTCTCTCCCCTCCCCTCCCTGGTGGCTGCCTGAGCAGGTGGCCCTCCCGCCAGAGGCCAAGGGTAAATGAGCCAGCAGGCCCAGGTGCAGCCCTGAGCATGGGTCACTCCAGGCCAGGGGTCGCTCCCCGCCACACTAAACTATGCCACGGGACAATGTGTGTGGAAGGAGGTGGGGGCTGCGGAGAGCAGGCTGGGCTGACTTGGGCTTCCTCTAGGTTTGTGGCTTGGCTCCCTCTGGGGCCGACCCACTGGAAACAAGGCCTTTCTGCTGGTGCCTGCGCACTTGTCCTCCTCTCACGGCTGAGGCCTGGGGGGCAGGATTTGTGGGAAGGAGCACCAGCTCAGGAGGCCTGTGATTCCAGGTGCCCCCGAGGCAGAATCACACCTCTCCTTGTCCTTCCTTGTTTAGATGCTCCCTAGTCGGTTGCTTCCTGGCTGTGTGTCCTGGTGATGGAACTCTCTTCCTGACCAGCGGCTCCCTGTCAATTAAACAAGGGTAGATTTGTGATTGTTTTTAAAGCAGAATCTGTCTGGGACTAAGAACTCCCAGAATTCCCACAAGGACGCCTGGGCTGTACTGCTTAAGCAGGCGTCTGGGTGGGAATGTTTCAGCCCCTGCCCCCAGGTCCCCTGAACCCCCACCTGTCCCTGGAGCCCCCTGGACACCACTTGGAAACAAATCACTAGATGAAAGGCTCTGGCCCATTCACTCCCCGAGGAACCACACAGTCTCGGAACCGGAGCCTCCCCCTGCAGAGGAGCGCCCCCTCCTGTTCTCAGTCGGAGAGAGGAACTGCAGGAGACGTTTTTCAGGGGATTCAAGGAGGAAAGTGGGGCTGTCAGCAGGGTGTCCACGGTTTGTTTTGTTTTTAGTTTTAAACTGTGGAGGAGAGAAAAGAAATCACAGTGGGGTGTTTGCTTTTATTTCTATTTCTTTTCCCTCTTTTATTTAAATCTTCGACAGAGATTGGCTTTATCTGAATGAGAAAAAGCAAGGAGAAAAGGTTTTGTAATGTCTAAAGAAATGGAAGGAGTGAATGTCTTTAAAAAATATGTCAGTGTCTTTATTTTTTACATCATGTACATGGTGTTAAATTTAAAAAGTAGAAAAGAGTATCCAGTGAAAAGAAAAGTCTTGGTTGTCTCCCTCCCCTGGAGACAATCTCTACTGCACTTGTGTATCCTTCTAGAGGTATTCTAAAATATATTGTATGCATTTATGTCTTTAATATGTGTTTCCAACGAATAACAATTCTGTTCTGTACCTTGTTTTTGTTTGTTTATAACCTCGTACATCCTGTGGATTGTTTCATGTTAATAACTAAGGAATCACATTTTTTTTTTTAAATCCTCACCCGAGAATATGTTTATTGATTTGAGAGAGAGAGGAAAGCAGAGTGAGAGAGAAGATAAGGAGAGGAGAGGGAGAGAAACATCGATCAGTTATCTCTCATACACTCCCTGACCAAGGATCGAGCCAGCAGCCTAGGTATGTGCTCTGACCGGGAATCAAACCCGCATCCTTTCGGTGTATGTGACAACACTCCAACCAACTGAGCTACCCGGCCAGGCCTGTAACCACATCTTTTTGTTGTTGTTGTATTTAAATATATTTTTATTGATTTTTTTAGACAGAAATGGAGAGGGAGAGAGAGATAGAAACATCATGTGAGAAACAGCAATTGGCTGCCTCCCGCACGCCCCCTACTGGGGATCGAGCCCACAACTGGGGCATGTGCCCTGATGGGAATCCAACCTGTGACCTCTTGGTGCATGGGATGACAGTCCACTGAGGCACGCCGGCTCAGTATGGATAAATAAAATATTTATTATTTATTTAACCATTCCCAAAGGTGGACATTTTGATACAGTTAAACCAGGCTGCAATGAGCATTCCTGAGCATGCTTTTGATCTCACACGTGTAACTTTATCTGTTAAAACAATTCACAGAGGTGTAGCTACTGCACCAAAGAATACCTGTGCACTTGTGATTTGGATAAATACTGCCTCCCACAGGTGTCACGCCAGTTTTGCTCCTCCAGCCTGGCACGAGATGGACTGTTTCCTCAAACCTTTGCCAACACTGCATATTATCCAATATTCTGATCTTTACCAAGCCAATAGGGAAAATGGTATATCTTTGTAGTATTAACTTATATTTTTCTCTCATTCTGAGTGAGGTTAACTGTCTTTTCCTGTGTCTAAGAGCCATTTGTATTTCTTTTGCTATGGAAAGAATTTCTTATTCTTTGCCCATTTTTGTTCTGGGTTGTTGCCCTCTCGCTTATTCATTGGCTTCGTATATCTGGATAATTACTTTGTGATTTCTAATATATGCAGTAATAGGTTTGTCCAGTTTGGGGATTTTATGTGACACTGTGGGGATTTTTATTTCGCTGTTCAGAACTTTAAAATTTTCTATGTATTTAAATTTAACTAGATTCACCCATCATTTTATTTATGCTTTCTGGGGTTTGTCATACTTAAAATTAATTTCTCTTTTAATGCATGTTGCAAACTAGAGAGAAAAAGCACTGGACTGAGATTCAGATCCGAGTTCACAGCCAGCAAACCCCTTCCTTCTTTTAACCTCACTCACGCCTTCTGTGTGACGAGCGGTTGGACTTCATTCGTTCGTTCAGCAGCACGGGGCTGGGTGCTGGGAACAGAGGCGGATGGTGTGGTCCTTGTCTTCAGGCCCAGTGGTGAGGGAGTGAAATGCAGCGAGCTGGGGCTGTGGTGGAGCACCCAGTGGGTACCGAGGGGACATCTAATACAGCCTCAGGAATGGGAGAGGGGTGTGGGTGCAGAAGGTGAAACAAGGCATTTCAAGGGAGGTGAGGCCAGGGCTGAGTCTTGATGAAAAGGAGTTATTCTGGAAAAATAACGGGGTGCCATGGGGTCGGGCAGGGTGGGTGCAGAGGGGAAAGCATTCCAGGTAGAGGGGGAGCACCTGTGGCAGCTTGAGGCCCTGGAGGGACTGTGTTGGGGCTTGTTGGGCAGTGGGGCATGGGAAATAAACACTATCACTGTAGTTGGGGAGCCCCATGGACCTCTCCCAAATCCCGTCTCTCTGCCCCCCTACATGTGGGCAAGAGCACACTTCTGGTAGGCATGTCAAATGCACAGTTGATCTTAAATGTTCTCACCACACAAAAAGGAATGATAATTACCTGACATGATAGAGGTGTTAGCTAAAGCTAAGGTGGGAATCATATTGCAATATATAAATATATCAAATCAACACATTGTACACCTTAAAGATACACAATGTTATATGTTAATTGTATCTCAACTTAAAAAATGGCACAGTTGCTTCAGGGAATATTTTAGCAACACTCAGTGAAATTGTGGGTGTATATCCCCATATCATCCAATAATTCTACCCCCAGATGGTGGAATTACCTGCACAGGTAACCATGAGGAGAGATGTATAAGAAAGTCCATAGCAGTAGTGTTTGTAGTATGATGGAAACCTCGCCTTCCATCATCAGAAAGGCAAACCATCCATTATGGCTATTTGCACCACAGGGTACTATCATGAATACATAAGTCAACAAAGACACATCTCAAAAATACAGCGTTGAGCCCTGGCCGGTTTGGCTCAGCGGTTAGAGCGTCGGCCTGCGGTCCTGAGAGACCCGGGTTCGGTTCCCGCTAAGGGCATGTACCTCGGTTGCAGTTTGTCCCCGGCCCTGGTCGGTCGTGCGGGTGGCAGCCACTCGATGTGTCCCTTTCACATCGATGTTTCTCTCTCTCTCTCTGTTCCTCTCTCTCCCTCCCACTCTATCTGAACAAAAAATGGAAAAATGTCCTCGGGTGAGGATTAAAAAAAAAATAAAAAAAATACAGCGTTGACTAGAGAGAAAAAGTGCCAGCAGAATACATGTCCCACAGGGTGTTAGAGACACATCCTCACGCAGAAAACATACAGAGGCGTGTGTGGGACCGTCCACTCCACGTCCCCAGTGCCTCCTCGGGGTGGGCAGGGAGGAGGACCGGACAGTTCATGAGAGCTTCAACTGAACTGAGATTTTCTCCCTTAAGCAGAGTGGGGGGCACATGCTTATTTCTCATATTATTATTTTTAAAAGTTTTAAAACACCCACTATTTCTCCAAATTATCATTTCAACATGTAATCAATATAAACATTACTAATGAAATCTTTATATTCCTTTTTCCAAAATAAGTATTGGAAATTTGTATTTTATTCTTAGGACACCTTTCAGTGGGGACAACATACATTTCAAGAGCTCACTTGGCTAATGGCTATTCTACTGCATAGAGCAGGGTTAACACCTTAGGGAGAGGTTGTGTCAGGTGACCCCTGAGATTCCTTTCTCATTTCCAAGCCCAGCAGAATGTGTGTGTGAAATGTGGCTTCTCTCTCCCTCCCTGCAGAACCAGCTTCCCAGGGCCAAGTGGACCTCATGGAGATCATTGGCCTCCCGCTGTCCCCGTCCGTGTCCTTTGTCACAGGCTATGGGGGCTTCCCAGCCTACAGCTTCGGGCCTGGCGCCAATGTGGGCCGCCCAGCCAGCGTCCTCCTCCCGCCCACCTTCTTCCGGGACTTTGCCATCAGTGCCATCGTGAAGCCCAGCAGTGACCAAGGTGGCGTGCTCTTTGCCATCACAGACACCTACCAGACGGTCATCCACCTGGGCCTGCAGCTCTCGGGGGTGGAGGATGGCCAGCAGCGGATCATCCTCTACTACACGGAGCCCGGCTCCTCCGTGTCCCACGAGGCTGCTGCCTTCTCAGTGCCGGTGATGACCCACCGGTGGAACCGTTTTGCTGTGACCGTCCAGGACAAGGAAGTGACCCTCTTGGTGGACTGCGAGGAGCACAGCCACGTCCCCTTCCAGCGGTCCTCCCGGGCCTTGGTGTTTGAACCCAGAGCAGGGCTCTTCGTGGGCAGTGCCGGCGCCAGGAAGCTGGAGAAATTCATCGTGAGTCTGAGCCCTGCAGATCGGGGCGGCCGCCGGACACCGTGTGACACATGAGCGACTATACTTGTTCTTATTTTATCCTTATGCCCTCAAGGCGGCATGCGTGCATGGTGGGGAAAACGCTAGGCCGGGAACCAGTCCTGAGATTTCGGTGCAGCCCGATGGTTGAGACAGCACCTGGCCCTCCGAGCCTCTGTGTGCTTCCCTCTGGAAGAGCGAGACAAAAACCTGCGCTGGGGCCGCAGAGTCAGCCCGACAGCCCTGTGAAAGCTCCCTGTGGCTTCAAGGCGTCCGAGAGAGAGGGAGAGAGAGAGAGAGAGAGAGAGAGAGAGAGAGAGAGAGAGAGGCGTCTGTTAGCCCTTGAGAGATTTTTTCCTTTGGATGGGGGCAGGGGCAGTCATTCTGCAGAGGGGCGGTAGCTAGAATGCCTGAGGGAGGGAGTTTCTCTCTTTCCTTTTGGACACTGTGCCCTGAAAAAAATCTCAGAAAACTGACCTATCAGCATGGGCTTTAATGAACGTGCTGTTCTAGAGGAAATCCCTAAATTGTGTGATTCATTTAGGCAGCCCATGTGCTGGCTCTGCGCTTACTGATACGCCACAGTACAGTGGGGCGGAGTTTGGGTTAGTTAGTGATATGCAGGAAGACTGAGGATTTTAAGAAGTTAAAATCCAGTTGTTTGTATTTATTTGTTTGTTTGTTTGTTTGTTTGTTTGTTTTTGTTAATCCTCACCTGAGGATGATCCCTAGAAAGAGTGGAAGGGAGGGAGGGAAGGGAAGAGAGAGAGAGGAAAGAGAGAGAAACATGAATGTGAGAGAGACACATGGATTGGTTGCTTCCCACATGCTCCCGGACCAGGCCGGGGGATTGAACCTGCAACCCAGCTGTGTGCCCTGGACCAGGAATCCAGCCTGAGACCCTTCCAGGCGCAGGCTGATGCTCTAACCGCTGAGCCAAACCAGCCAGGACCAATTAATGAATTTTAAACGCTCGCTCTGGGTGGGTCAAGGAGAAGGAGTTGCCAGGTGGGGAGGGGAGGAGCGGGTGGAGAAAGGGAGGCTGACTGGCATCTCTTCTTGGGATGAGGCCTTCCAGCCCAGAACCGTCGAGCTGCAGGGGAAAGACTTGTTCTGGGAGAGGGGCGACCTGCATTTCGGGACCTGTCCCCTGACGAGGTGGAGACCTGGGAGCAGTCAGGAGGCTGCTCTTAGTCTGTGCCTTGAACACAGTACTCCCCACGGGGCTCTCCAGAGAGTGGGGCTCAAATGACAAGGGCTCAAGCCAAGTCCCCCCTCAATGAGAGTGGGCCAAGAGGTGGCTTGGCTTATTTGTCGCGGCCAATACCACCTGTCCCGGGACCTTCTCCACCACAAAACCAGTTATGTTTCCTCTGGTGGTTGTGCTCTAGCTGTGCACCTGGAGCCTCTGACCCTCTGCTTTCCCCAGGGCTCCATACAGCAGCTCACCGTCCACCCGGACCCCAGGGCCCCTGAGAAGCAGTGTGACGCCGAAGAGTCCTCGGTGAGCCCCCTCCCTTCCCTCACCCCACCCTGGGCCCTGCAGCCCCGGCAGCCAGTCTGCAGGGCAGGGCTGGGTGCCCAGGCAATTCTTTATCCCCGACGTCATGGAGCCTCTCATCTTGGCAAGTGCTGCCTCACGTCCTATTTTGGGCTTTTGGGCTTTATTTTATTATTTTTAAGAGCTTCAGCTATCTCTCTGGTGGGGGGGGGGCTGTGTTTCTGCTAAGGTGTGAGGTATTTCCACAGCTGTGGCAGCCAATGGCCCGATTTCCAGACTTCCTGCCAAGAAAGGGTGTCAGGATTCTAAAATCGAAGCTAAGACTCTAAGACACCCTGGGTGTAAATTCCTATAAAAATGAACCTAGATTTAGCTTTTATGCTTGGCAAATGGATCCGTTCCTGAGTTGGAAGTGGGGTGGTGGGCCAGGAAAAAAGATGGGTCCTTTTCCCTCTTCTCCCTCCGTTCCTTCTTCCCCGCCCTCACGATTTACTGAGCACCTACCAGGTGACAGACCTGGGGAGGTGCTAAGAGAAAGGGATAGACTGGGAACTGTCTCCATCCTCAGGCTGCTCTGCGACCCCTAGACCCCTACACACCCATGTCCGGTGACAGTGCTGAGTGTCGGGCGGGTGGGCGGGGGAGGGGGACCCATACCTGCCCGAGGACAGTGTGTGTCCCTCAGAGCAAGAAGCAAAGGCCCTCCAGGGGAGTCAGAGGCAAGCAGAGTGCGGCACAGCCCTAGAACGGCTGTTCCTCTTTGGGTGGTATCAACCCCAAAACAAAACCAAAGTTGACTTCGTTCGTTTAGTAAAAACTGCTGCCGCTTTGGCTGGAAGGCCTCTCCAGGAGCAATCTGGCTCTGGGAGAAGGTTCGCGCCCCATGAGGCCGTGACCCAGGCCTGGCCCGTGTGCGGGGCTGAGAGGAGGGCGCCGTAGACGTTCTGTCCCTCTGTCTCTGCACTGCTGTGAATATTGAAGAGGTAGACACAGCCCAGGAGTCCCCTGATGAGGGCTTGCTTACAGACGCAGGGCACGCGGCGCCTTGTTGCCATTAGCTGGCTGATTAGGACGCGTAGGTAGCAGCAGGAGGACGCACTTCCAATAGAACTGTTCCCAGTGTCAAGTTCCGGTGACAGTCATGCAAAAAGGGCCAGTGCCTTTTGATGGAGAGCGAAGGGAACCTGGACAAAATGAAAGTAGGTATGTTAGAGAGACTATAAATTGATTGTAGTATTTGAGCAATAAAATGTGGAAGGAAACAAAAAGAACAACCAAGCATTTGCACCATACACATGCTGTCCTCAGTTTCACTCTGTCTGTCTCTGTCTCTGTCTCTCTCTCTTTCACACACACACACACACACACTTCTCCACCAGAGGCAGCTCCCTGTTGTAAACTGCTCCCCTTCTACCTGGCATCGTTTGCCTCCACACAGGCATCAGGAGAGACCAGCGGGCTTCAGGAGACAGACGGAGTTGCTGAGATCTTAGAAGCAGACACCTACACTCAAGCCCCGGTGAGTGCTGGGGTGCCGTGCCGTCATCTTGGTCAGCTTTGAGGGGCCTGAGCATTGCTGGAGAGGGCCCAGAGTCCCAGGTCTGACATCTCTGTCCTTGGATCTGTGATTCAATCGTGAGCTCATCTGGGGAAAGCAGGAATGTACTGGCCAAAGGTCACTCCCCGTGCATGGGACCACCAGCTACCCGAGGCTGCCCTGTGCTGTGGTGTGAGAAGGCTGTCCGGAGGCAGACAATGTGCTCTGTTGCCTCCCAGCTCTGTGACCTTGGAGAACTTGCTCAGCCTCTGTGAGCCTCAGCTCCTCGTCCACAAAACAGTAATCAGAGTCCTATCGCATGGCTTGCTGAGAGTTCGAGGAGACAGACCCAGGCCTGGCATGAAGGATGTGTCCCTGTACAGTGGCTATTGTAGCATTTGCTCGGGACTCGGCTCTGAGAAGGAAGTCGGGGCCCGCACTCCTGCAAGCTGCTACGTCCTCCCAGGAGCTCAGTTTGGTCTCCATGGGAGAGTCAGCCATCCACCCTGTGGCCTGGGCTTCCTCCCTCCTGGGAGTGCACCCTGTCTCTGAGACCAGGAAGTGGTGTCGAAAGCACTGAGTCAGACTTGGAGACACCGAGGAGCCCGTTTTAGTGCAAACAGCCAGCAGTGTGTGAGTCACTGACACAGAAGCCCCAGCAATCTCCTCATCTGGTCCGGCTCACTCTGCAAACTCCTCTCTGATCAAAGAGCGGAGAGATGGAAATACGGCAGAGGCTATACATTACAGACCTCTGGCGACAGAGGTGTGGGTGGGGAAGGACAGGACCGTAGTCTCAGTGCTGGAGGGACTTACTGGTCACCTCTCTGTGTAAAGGTGCACAAAGATACCTTTTGTACAGACGGGCAAGCTGAGACCCAGTGAGGGGAAGAAACCGGCTCTAGGGTACATGGGCAGAGCTGGGGCTGGAGCATAGATCCCCTGATGTCCCAGCCAGAGTTCAGGCCACAACTCTGAGCTGCTGGCCCGGGTGGGGTGCAGCCTGTCCCCAGCACTGCAGCCAGCTCCTGGGCAGCTCCGATGCAGGACGTCCAGGGTCTGAGCAGCGCTGCAATCCTGTGTGCCCACCAACCGCTGACCACTCCATTGGCATGTCCAGGGCACAGAGTGGTGGTCGCTGGGCCTTGTGAAGACTGATGCTGCCCCCTGTGCGCCAGCTCACAGCCAGGAGTGAGGCCAGCTCAGGGTGGCTCTGGGCGAGGGGAGAGGGGCTGGAGATGGTCGTGGGGTGGGGCTGGCCAGGGAGGGCTTTCTGAAGGAGGTATTGGTGGTGGGCAGCTTTGGACAGAAGTGGAGAAATGGTAGGGGAAGGGAGAAGACCAGCATTTCTCGATACCCACTATGTGGCTTTGTATATATGACTGAACTGAATCCTTACAACAACCCTGCAAGGGAGTTGGATGCTCAGAAGGACAGGCGGCTCTGCCAGGGTCAGCCGGGGATGGAGGCAGCACCTGACCGGCCTCCTCTCCTGGGTCAGGGTGTGCAGGGCAGGGCGCATGTGGATGTGAATGAGCACGGAATAAATCCCCAAAGTGTCTGGAGAGGTGAAAAAGGGATTTGATGGGCTCCCTGGCCTCTGGGCGGGCACCCCAAACACTTTCCTCCCTAGGGTCCCCAAAACTACTCTCCTCAGTGGTTTTAAGAGAACTGGCATAGATCAAAGACCCACCAAGTGTGCGTTCAACTTTGCCAGGTGCTGGTTGTGGAGCTGAAGCCAGGATTCACCTCCGGGAGTCTCCGTTTCCTCCTCAGTTGGAATGGGGCAGCTCCCGCCCAGGGTTAGTGAGAAGGCAGGATGAATTGACCCTTGGAAACTCGAGGGCTGGTCCTGGCAGCTCTCCGTGAATGCCCGTGGTTGTTAGTTCTGATGGTAGGCTATTGTGAAGATTGAGGGACCCCCTCCCAGTGTCAGCCCTTGTGGCTGCCTTCAGTCCTTGAGAGAACCCCTGCCCCACGCATCCCTGGACGAGGCTCTGGGCCTGGGGGTCTGGAGCTGCGGGTGCTGAGGCTGACTTGTCTGCTGCGGATGTCAAATCCCTTCCGCCCGCTCCTGCAGGGCACGCTCTTCCTCCAGCCTGCTCTGCAGGGCTGTGTTTTTCCATCCATTCCCCGGAGGTGCACTGAGGCGGGTGGAGTGTCAGTTTTGTCCCAGGCTGCCCAGTGAGGAGGTGGCAGGGCCAGGTCCCCCGCAGAGGGACCAGGGTGCCCTCAGGCATGTCACCCAGAGCTGGGACTTCCCCTTCACCATCTCCTGGAAGGGCTCCATGGCTGCCCTTCCGGGCCACCCCCCAAGTCGGGGAACTTCCCTCTTACTCTCAGACACCCCTCCCCTCTCTGTCTGGCTGCCCTCTTGGAATGAACATGACTTCTCTGTCTGCACCCTTTCCCACCGCCACCTTCGAGACGCCATCCATGACCAGCCAACTGAGTCACGGGCTGAAGGAGCCAGCCCTCTTCACCTCCGTCCCCATTTAGGGTAGGAATCCCTGCTCCCCTGCTCTTCCCCTGCTGCGTCAGCTTCTGCTGACACCCCTTTCCATTTCTGGAAAGTTCTATCTTAGGCTGTGTTAGATTTAATATCCCTATAGCTCTCAGCCTGGGGGGGCGGCGGGATGGGGGGAGGTTCTTGCCTGGGCTGATGTTCAGACTCAGTAGGTCTGGAGTGAGGTTCAAGAATCTGTATTTGTAAAAAGCTTTGCAGGTGGTTCAGATCCACAGCCAGGATCTCTCTTCCAGCCACACCCAAATTCTCCCAGTTCCCCAGACACTAGAGCACTTCCCCCCATCCACGCCTTGGCCCCTGGGTTCTGTGGCAAAGAGCCCGCCCCACCCCGCCCCGTCTTGCCCCGCCCCGCCAGTTCCTACTCATCCTTCAGAACGTGGCCCACAGCCCTTGGTCGGGCCGTGGCCAGCCTCGCTCCCCACTTGGATCTCACTTCCGCTGTCCCATGTGTCCCATTTCAATCACAGTTAGTCGTGCCTGGGTCTGGGCTGTGTCTCCCCATACTCAACAGTGTGAGGACAGCCACCCTGTCTTATTTATTCATGTCCATATCCCCAGGGATCAGCCAAGGACCTGCACACAGTAGGGCCTCAGGAAATACGTGTTGAATATGAGTATGGGCCGAGCAAATCACCACACTTTTAATAAAAAGTCTTAACACTCGACACTCCTGTTTTGTCACAAACCACACTAATTCTCTATCCACACTAACCCCTGAACACCAAGAGCCGCCTGTTGATCCCCGAGGGTCAGCTCACCAGGTTCACCCTGTGCCGTGAACGGGGGGTTGTGGGCCCCTTGTTAGGAGATTTCCAAAAGTGGTTTTGGTCGACAGACTGGAGTCAGAGATTTCACGTAACTCGGCCTTTCCCACCTGAGTTGCGGAGCTCAGCCACCCTCGTCCTGCCTTTCCGGCACCCCTCTGCCCTCCCGCCTGTCTCAAAGCCCTAGTCCCTGGTAAAGCAGCTGCACTTCCAGCCTCTGGAGGCCTTGCTCCAGGCTAGAGGCCCGATTTCCTGAGCCCAGAGGACCCGGGCAGGAAGAGGGGAGGAACCGCTGTGACAGGGTCCTACTCCCCTGCCAGGTCACTGAGCAGCTAGGGAGGAATGGAGAAGTCCCAGTGGTCTTCAGAGCCTCTCCCCTGGGGTGGTCCCTGCTCCCTGCCCCCGCGATGCCTCCCTGGTTCCTACCTCACTGGGCTTCTTCAGCGAAGCCACTGGTCTCCTGGCCTAACCTCAGCTCCCCGAGCCCACGCTCTGTTGGCACACGGGTGAACTCCCCAAAGTACACACCTGCCCACGCCACTCCCTAGCCTAACACCCCCAGGTGCCCCAGATCCAAGGCCAGACTTCTCCCCAAAGAACCAGCCCCCTCCCTCTCGGCCTCCTGGCTCTGTCCTCCTGCTTCCATCCGGAACCCTCACCAAGTGCAGGTTGTTAGACCCTGGCGATGCTGTGTCCTTTGTCACCTCAACGCCTCCTTCCGTTCTTGCTTTCTGATGCTCTGTTCATTCTTCAAGGCCCAGCTCCCTGGAACCGTCCACCCCTGCCTCCACCCTTGGGATTTTACAATGCAATAAACGATATCTTTCTTTAAGGTGCATAAACACTAAAAAAAAAAAAATCACTTTTGAGGTGTTGTTTTCTCAAACTTCAGAATTCTGGTGATGTTGATGACGGCTGCCCTTGGTGGGCTCATACTGTGGCCCTGTGCTGAGACCTGCACGCACTCTGTCCCCTGTCAGTAGTTATCCTTGGCCCCATTGTACAGAGGAGGAAGCTGAGTCTCAGGGAGGCTATATGACCGGCCCAACATAACAAAGCTAATAAGTGGAGAGCTGAGATTGGACCCAAGATTGATGGCAAGAACTGAGCCATTAAACCTTAAGTTATGGGGCCCTCCTTGTTCTGACGGGCCAGAGATTCATTGTTTATACACTAGATTCTGACATGAAGGAAATAATTTTCTGTTATTCGTCAGGATAGGGAAGTAATGGCTGCAGTCACAAATCAACCCTGAAATCTTAGTGTCCTGGGTGTTTCTTGCTCACATCACAGGTCCAGCGATGGTTGGCTGGGTCCTTCCTTTCACCCCCCCCCCAGCCCCTTGAGCTCAGAGAGGGGTGAGACTGCTGAACACTGGGGAGCCCTGGGTCTCCGGGCTGCTACCTGCCTGGGTCTGGGGATGATGTCACAGCCTTTGCTGCCCCTCCAACCCCGCCAGTCGAGATTTCCGCCCAGATCTCTGAATGGCTCTGTGTTTCCCACTGTTGGGGGTTTCTGTTTGTTTCTTTTTTCCTAGTTGGAGAAATTGGTTGAGATATTGACTGGCTTTCGAAAAGCCACCCACAAGCTGAAGTGTCCTAGAAAGGAAACCGTACCCATCTTTTATTTTCTTAGGCGTTTGTGACCAGCGCACATCTGGGATTGGATTTATGCAGCGTTTACTCTGCACAGCCTGCTCCATTCATCTGTTGGTTCATTTACTCACGCATTCCCTCATCTAACAGATCTTTATTCAGCACCTCGTCTGTCCTGGCCTGGGGTATGGAAATGTGATCTCTGTGCTCAGAGAGCGTTGGGCAGGTTTAGCAGAGTCTTGCTGTAAACGGAACAGAATTAAATTACCCGCCATGCCCTCTTTCCCGGCCCTGGCAGGTGCAGTGACTGCCCAGGTGCATACTAGGCAGGGCTGAGCTTTCTTCTGGGTTTGCTCAGCACTTGGTGGATATATTATCTTCTCCAGCGATATGCACTAGCCATTTTTTTCTGCTTTCCTGAAAGTAAATTTTTTTGGGTTTCATTTCCCCTCCCTTCAGCCTCAAGAAGCAAAAGTTGAACCCATAAACACACCTCCAACTCCTTCCCCCCATTCTGAGGATGCGGAGCTTTCCGGTGAGCCTACACCTGAGGGGACCCTGGAAACCACCAACCTGAGTGCCATCCTGCACAGCAGCCCCGAGCAAGGCAAGTCCTGGGTGTGCCTGCGTGCACGCTGGTTTTCTACTGCGTGACGGCTGTGTGTCCAGCTGGGTGACGTGTGGAACACAGAGCAAGGCCTCATTTAACTTTCTCACTGGACAAACAAATGGGGAAATCGAGTCCCCCAGCCGAGGCCCTGTGGCTTGTAAATGGCAGGTTTGGTCTTTAATCTTGGGTAGCTAAACTTTCAACCCCCAGACTCCACCCCTCCAGAAGGCCCTGGGGTTTAACAAATCAGCTTGTAATAATTGTTGCCACTTATTAAATACCTACTGTGTGCTAAGTGTTCACGTACTACATCTTCAAGACCAGCCACACCTCTCCTCGTTGCTACTGTTAGCCAGTGTTTTACAGATGGAAAAACAAGTGCTCGGAGAGGCAGGTGACATGCCCACAGTCCCACAGCTAGTGAGTGGTGGGACAGAGCCAGTGCCCAGGCCTGACTCCGGAATCCCCACTCTTTTCAGCCTAGGCCACCGACTCCCCGATTCCCTGGGGATCAGGCCGTCAAAACTCCTGTGTGGCACGTGTGGGAAAACTAACCGATGTTCAGAGAGGGGCAGGCACCCAGGAGGTCGGCAGCAGGCCCTGGGGCAGTCTGGCCTCTTGGCTCCCCACCCCGGGCTCTGGTCCCCGCCCAGCCATATAGAGGAGCACTGGCAAAACCCCGAGGTCTGTCCTGATCCCCCAGGCACCGCTTGACATGTGCCCACGCCTGAGATCGGCCTGCATTGTCTGCCCTTTATCAGAGGGACAACTGCTTTCAGGCCCAAGTTATAGCCAACGCCAGAGCACCGAGATTTAGGTACAAGGTCTAAAAACAACCCAGACGCCCGCGGTAGGGACTGGTGGAGCAAACTGTATTTCATGCATCTGTGCAGCCCTGAAATTGGTGATGCAGAGGATTTCCTGGCCCAGGGACATGCTCATGGTGTGCTCCAAGGAAAAGCACCTTTCAGAAGTATACGTGTGCTATGGCCCTAACTTTGAACATGTCACTTATATTTATATCTAGCCATGCAGAAGACTGTGTGTGTGTGTGTGTGTGTGTGTGCGTGCGTGCATACAGTGTGTGTGCTAGAATGATACACAACCAAATGCTGTGAGTAATATATTCTGGGTGGTAGGATTGCGGGTGGTTTTAATTTTCTTTTTTTGTAATTCTGTAGTTTACGTGTCTTTTACAATCCTATATAGCGTTGTTCTTTTTCCTTCTGCCTTCAGTAGATGAATGTTATTTTAATAACTAAACTTGGGGAGTCTGTGGGTGAGAGAAGGTATGCAGCACTGAGGAGAGAAAGGTTGCATGATAATGGAATAGAGTGATAGCACAGCCAAGGAGGCAGGGTGTTGCTGTGGAAAGACTCTGGGGCCGGCCGGCCAGCAGACAGTTTGGATGGAAGCCCTGCTCCGCCACCTATTTGCTGTCAGGCCTGGGGCAAGTTGCTTAACTTTTCCAAGCTTTAGATTCTTTAACTGTTTGCTGGGAGTGTGCACAACCCCCTGGATGAGAGGGTGTGGAAGTGGGTTATGAATTGCAAGGCTGTTCTCCTGGGTGGAATTTGGATTTCTGAGGAGGGCCAAGGGAAGGGCAGAGGCTGTGGGGCCTGGGTGAGGGCCTCACCCAGACAGAGGGGTGAGTTCAAAGGAGGTGGAAGCCAACTGCAGACTGGGACCCAGATCCAAGCACAACTTGCCTGTTCCCTGGGATCAGCCAGACTCCTTCTCTGGCAAACAAAGGCCAAATGAAAACAACGGAACTGGCTAAAATATTCCCGTTCTTCTTATTGGGTAGAATGGCCCTGGCCGGTTTGGCTCAGCAGTTAGAGCATTGGCCCTCGAACCAAAGAGATCCGGGTTCAGTTCTGGTCAAGGGCACGTACCTTGGTTGCGGTTTGTTCCTGGCCCTCGAAAGGGCCGTGCGGGAGGCAACCAATCAATGTGTCTTGCTCGAGTCCCCCCCTCCCACTCTATCTGAAGATTAAATGGGACACTATCCTCGAGTGAGAATTAAAAAAAAAAAATTATTTGGTAGAATGTCCAGATGGTGAGGAAAATGGGCCTGAACCCTGAGGGCTCTGCTCCTGGCTAGGGAAAGCCACTTAATAGTTTTATTTGAGTTTCCCTGACATCATCTTGCCCCAGGGCACATGCTACCCTCATCTCCATCCTCCAAGGGGTGGGGCCTCTGGCCAGCCGCTTGCACAGCAACCCCTGGTGGCAGGCGCAGGGAGGATGCACGGGTGACAGGATGCTTGTGTGCGAAGGGTCCCTAGAACAATGCAGCACCTCCCCCCCCCACACACACACTCTTCACAGCATGGGACATGCGTGACCACAGCATGTGTGGAAATGTCTGGGCCTGGGGACAGTCAGCCTGGCTTCAAGGGCCTCTCCCAGCCACTCACTCTCTGTGGGGCCTGTTTCTCCTCTGCAGAATGGGGTACATACATATAAGGTGCTAATGTACAGGTCAGAGCCTGACACACACGCTGTGCGGAGACTGAGAAGGTGGGGTTCTGTCCTGGCTCTGCCCACCAGCTGCAAGGTGGTGGGATAGTGCTTGTAGGTTAGGGCGGATGGGCTAATGGGAAGGTTAAGTGAGGGAAGACCGGAGACATGCTTGGCCGGGAGCCTAGCCTATAACAGACATGCATTTATGTTAGTATAATTTCTTTCTTTTTTTTTTTTTTTTTGCTTTAGGACTCCATGTGTTTTTTAAATTGCAAAAGAAATATGTACTTGTGGTAACTGTTTAATCAATGCAGAATTGTATGAACCAAAAAAAAAGTAGTTTCCTCTCCTATCCTCGGGAGGAAACCAATATTAAGTATTGTGGTTTACTGGTGGGAATGCCGACTGGTGCAGCCACTATGGAAAACATTATGGTGTTACCTCAAAAAATTAAAAATTGAATGGCCATTTGACCCAGTGATTCCCACTTCTAGGAATATACCCTAAGAAGCCTGAAACACCAATCAGAAAGAATATATGCACCCCTATGTTCATAGCAGTGTTATTTACAATAGCTAAGATCTGGAAACAGCCCAAATGTCCATCAGTAGATGAGTGGATAAAAAGCTGTGGTACATATACATTATGGAGTACTATGCAGCTGTAAGAAAGAAAGATCTCTTATCCTTTGAGATGACATGGAGGGACCTGGAAAGTATTATCCTAAGCGAAACAAGCCAAGCAGAGAAAGACAAGCATCATATGATCTCACTTATTTGTGAAATATAATGAACATAACAGTCTGAAGAACAGGGTAGTCCCAGAGACATGGAAGTGGGGGACAGACTGACAATGCCCCAAAAAAGGCGGGGGGACAGATAAACCACGGAACTTATATGCATGTATGCATAACCGATGGACATGGATAACAAAGCTGGGGACAGGGCAGGGAGGGAGGGGGAGGAGGTCATCAATGGGGGGAAAAGGAGAAACATCTGTAAAATAAATAAATAAATTAATTAATTAATTAATTTTTTAAAAAAGGTATTGTGGTTTAGCCAAGTGCATATTGTTTGTCTACATACACCACACACACATCCGTATATACCTACATATTATGTGTTATATAACGACTATATTGATTATATAATGTTGATTAAACACGTATACTCATATGTAGTGTTTTTTCCCTTTACAAATATAGAACCATATTGACAATGAACGTTTATTCATTGCTAACCCTATGCCAGGGGCTGTCCTTGATGCTTTTGTTGTATCGGTTTATTTCATCTGCAGCACATAACCTGAAAGCAACCCTGTGAGGTAGGAATTGTCCCCAGTTTGCAGAGGAGGAACCTGAGCACAGGTTTAATGACTTACCAAAGTAGGTGCCAGCCTCACCGCTGGTGGCAGAGACTGTGACTGAAACCACTTGTAATCCTGCCTTCGGTTTGCTCAACCGGCCCCCACTGTGGACATCTGAGCTGTTCTTTGACCTTGGACCTAAATCTCATGCTCTGGCCTTGGCTGTAAGTTCAGTCTGAAATGGTTACCCCTCTGAAAAGGGGCAGAAAATGCAGGTTGATCTCAGGTCTTGGGCACAGGTAATACTGCCATGGTCTTTTTTTCCCCCTCCTAATCTTGTATTCTGGGCATCTTTTTGGCTGTCGGTGAAGAGGCAGGCACCTCTTGTTTTTCAAGACTGCAAAGTGCAGTTAGTAACTACAGAATGCCTGCTTCCTTTAGGCTCTGGTGAGATCGTGAATGACACCCTGGAGGGGGTTCATACTCTGAACAGTACCCCCATTACAGACGCTGGCTCAGGGGACGGGGCCTTCCTCCATGTCACTGAGGAGGTGAGTAAGTGAATGGCAAATTTCATTTGAGACTTCAGTGGTAAATTTGTTTGCTTATTTCAGACTTGATGGCGACTTGTATTGGGCACCATTGAGGACCCCGAGGGTTTTAGTTGAAGGTGGCAGAGACTGCCTCTCTCCTGCGGGACAGAGGCGGCAGGAGTCCCAGGGCCCCTGGGGCTCTCCAGGGATGCACCCGGACAGGGAGGAGATGCAGCTGGTCCTCGCACCTGCCAGGGAGCATGCTGGTCTTCACCGTGGTACCCTCCCTCCCGCACAGTGGCGCAGATGCTCAGCCTCCTGCTCTGTGAGCCCCTTCAAGACAGAATCAGATTAACTGCCTGTGTCCACTCTGTGGTTGGGTAATCGGCTTTTCTATCTGCAAAGCCAATATTTTACATGCTGGACACAGTTGGGTACCAAAGTAAAGCAAACATATTGTTCCCACAATGGCCTCTGCCAAACCCACAGGGTCAGCTCATTCTTTCTAGTATCCTGGGATGAACGCAGGTATTCTCATGCTCCCGCGGTCACTGTCTGGCAGCAGCCTATGTGTACAGGTATTTTCAAAGTCCAGTCCAGCATAATACAAAAATGTCAGTCCCTTTGTCTCCCAAATTCCGAGGAATACACATCTAGCTCACCAAATTGTTTCTACTGAGCGGAAGGGGGAGGCAAAGCCACCGAATACTTCAGATTCTCTCCCAAAAGGGGTTCTTTCCTTTTTCTTACACAGACCGGGGGCAGGTGATGGGTCAGTGCTGGTGGAGCTGATTTCATGTCATTGTCTCTTAGCACGTCCCACAGAAGTGGCCGGGTCCCTTTTTTTAGCATGTGACGACGGTGGGATGACACTTACCTTGTACTTTATAAAGCCTTTTGGGACTTTAGCTGAAGTTGCATCAGAAAGAACCTCATTTTAAAATCTGTGACATTATCTTCTCTCTGTTTTTCTTCAGACAATAATTGTGAAAGGTCTCAATATGTTATTAAAAAAATGGTTCTGCTGTCAAATAATTTTAGGAAATGTTCCACTTATACCTTCCTGATGGGCTCTGAGAAGTCCTGCAGCAAGGAAATCTGTCTAATTTTGCTCAGCTTTAGTATTCAAAAGAACTACATTTTTGCAAAACAACTGCAAAGTTAAATTTAAAAAACAAACAAAACAAAAGATCCTTGGGAAACTGAGATAAAATACAGTCAGTTTGGTGGCACCAGCAGCCAAAGCTGTTCCGTTTCCATTTCCTGCGTCTGCCGTGTAACCTACAGAGCGGGTTGTCCAACCCAAAGGAAACGAAGTCATAGAGAAAGAGAAGACGCAGGCGTCTAGCCCGAGAAGGCTGGGGGGACGGAGTTGTAGCCTGCACGTCTCAAAGCACCATCAGGACAAGGAATTCTACTTGCTCCCATGGCTTCTGGGTGGTACACTGGGGAGGCCGCAGGGAGGCAGGCACGTCTGGGTAGACGTGTCAGAGCCGGAGCCGGCTCCTCAGGGGGCAGAGATCTCCCGGCCACTGGCATGTGCAGACAGGTGCCGTGCAGTCGCTCCTGTCCCTGGGATGCTGTGATCCGGGGACTTTCATGGGGCTGGCGTGAAGTCCAGATAAGGAAGAACTTGGAGGGAAAGAAGCTACGGAAATGCAAGTTGATAGAGGGGTGTGCACAGTCTGCTCTCTCCAGCACAGGCACATGGATCAGGGGCCCCCGGTGACGTGGTCCCTCGTGATGCCTTTGTTTCAGGGTCCACATACTGAAGGTTCGGCAGCAACGGTAGCAGCCGGGGAAGCCGAGGCGACTGTCAGCCCTGCCGGGGAAGCAGAGGTGACTGTCAGCCCTGCAGGGGAAGCCGACACAGGCGGCGTGTCCACCCTGGACCCCAGGGAAGGAGTCACTGCAGTAAGTAGCTTGGAGGGCATGCCTACTTCACCTCTTTCTGGGAGGTGGTGAGCCCCTCAGGTGGGAGCAGTCGCTGGCCTCCCTCGTCCTCTGGAGAATGCAGTTGCGGCCTCGTGGGCCGAGCTCGAGCACACAGTGACTTGGAGGGTGAGTCGGGTGGACTCATTCAGCCGAGGTTGGGGCTGTGCTGCGCTGGGCACCAGGTGGAGAAGGTAGACTGCTTCCTGAGGGCAGAGGGTAAGAGGTGAAATGAAAGAAGCACCAGGGGGCCAGAACCCAGACTCTGGGCCCGGGAAGCCTTCCAGGGGAACAGATGCTGACAGTGAGGCCAAGGGACTTAGGAGGGCCCAGCAGTGGGAGAGACCGGAGCTCCGGGGCCTGGGGCATCCACGTGGGGATACGAACCTGACGAAGTGCAGCCTGGGCGTCCGGAGAGAGCAGAGGGGGCAGGGAGACGGGGCTGAAGGGGTCTGTGCGTCCGAGGAAGCCACGAGAAGGAGCCTGAGAGTATCCAGCAGGAGCAGGAGTTGCTGCGGGTATGAAGAAGGGAGCAGTGTAGTCAGAGCAGGTTTTAGGAAGATCACCTGACCCAGAGTAGAGAAAGATGGGGAAGAGGGCATGGTTCTGAGGCTCTGTCTCCTCCAGGCCAGGCTGGTGGCTTGCTCTGGGCTTGGTTAACAATGTCACATCCTGCCAGGATTTCCCAGCGAGGGGAGGCTGGGAGAGCGGGACCTGCGTTGTTGACCTCGGGGAAGGCGGTGAGGGATGGGAGGCCCTGAGCCAGGAGGTGAGACGAGGAGGTGGTCAGTGCGGCTGCCAACCCTCCCCCCAGAAAGCTGTGCATCCAGGACCCGGCTTTTATCCCAGCACCACGACTTGGGTGCTCAGGAAAAGCCTTACTCGGGAGTCGTGCAAGGTGATGGCGGGCACTGGTGCGCGCCAGCCCCCGAGGTTGGCGGGTGAACACACAGGGTGCTGGCCAGGGCGCTCACACCTTGGGTGGTGTAAGAGGGCTTCTGTGTGGGTGCCCCGGTCAGGGCAGCGGTGTAAGGTGAGGACTTGGGTGTGCGAATGCTCCGAGGGTGGAAGGCATTGGGATGTGGGTGCAGGAGGGGCCCCGGCTGCTGCTCCCTCCAGCCACAGGCCGTGGGTCACTGCCCTGGTCCCCCGTGATGCCTTCCCATCCAGGATCCAGATACTGAAGAAGGTTCTGCAGCGATAGCCACAGGGGAGGCCGAGATGCCCACCAGCACTGGCGGGGAGGCAGAGGCCAGCACTGTGCCCACCGGGGGACCGGCCCTCTTCGTGTCCTCCCAGGAGCCTGGGGAAGGGGTCACTCTGGTAAGGCTGGGGGGTTGAAGCCATAGCTGGGAGCCAGCCCTGCCTTCTCGTCGGGCCAGTCTTCATTCTGTGCAGCAAATCCAGAGTGGTCTGAATGGGTGGGGCACCCTTCTGACCAGATACTCCCTCCTGAGGGACTGTGTGGTGAAGTCCCTGCGGGCTTGCGGGGAGCCAGCTGGAGGTGGGGGTGAGCCCCAGGGGGTGCAGGGCGACCACCTCCTCCTGTAGGTTGGTCCAGGGAGGAGGAGTGCTGGGCTGTGATAGGAGGTGCCTGAGGGCTCAGCCATGGCCTGTTTCTGGACGCAAGCACGGTTGTCAGAGGGCAGCGGAGGGTCAGGGTGCAGGCAGGCCCCACAGGGTCCCAGAGGATGGCCAGGACTTCTCAGCCATCTCCTTAGAGGTCATGGAGACTCTCTTCCCAGCTCCCGAAGGCGGGACTCAAGTGTTCCAGGACACTTGGTAGGTCTGTCCCTATAATGTGTCTTGCAAGTTCTTCAAGCTCAGCAGATGTAAACCTAGACTCCTCATTTCTGCTCCTGAGTTCCTACCTCAAATGAATGGGACCATCATGCCCAGTCCTAATCCAGGATTCTCTTCCCTCTTTCTTCCTTCCCACATCCCATCAACCACCAAGTCTTGTTGATTTTCCACCCAAGCAGATGGTGGGCCCGCCTGCTCTACCCTTCTCGAGTGCCCTGGTCTGAGCCACCCTTCCCCAGCCCAGGTGATGGCTGCGGCTCCTGCCTGGCCGACTCTGTCATGCCCCCTGACTCCTCCCGGTGGGGCAGCTGTCCCGCAGACCCTGCTACCCTACCTGGCCTACAGGCTTTCGGGGTCTGGCCTGGCCAGCCTCACTGACCCGGCAGATTTTCAGTGTGCCTCTTCTTGCCTCAGAATCTTCTCGTATCATCTCCTCTCTGCCCGAGCCCTTTCCTCCCCCACCCCTCCCTAGTCCCTGCCTTTCCTTCAGAGTTCAGCTCAAACACCACTTGGTCTAGGAGATGCCAGCCCAGATTGTGGAGTCTCCCCACAGACACGTTCATGGTACCCATTTCTCCTTGGAAGGTCTCGCCGTAGCTGTAATGAACAATACACTTGGCGTGTAGTTCATTTCTGGCTCCCTCCTGGCCTGCAAGCTCTGCGAGGCAGGGATTGTGTACGTCTGTTCATGGTCTACCTGCACATGACGGGGACTCGGTGCACATTTGCTGAGAGATCGGCCAGAAGGAGTCGTCAGCCCATCACACACCAACAACACTGGCTTTTGAAATCATTCCACACGATTGCTCCCAGCCTTGCACCCCTGGCCTCGCGTCAGCCTGGTGAAACTTTTCAGTGGGGAGGCGCCCTCACCGGCTGACAGCGCTTCAAGCCACTGAGCAGCTATATGGACTATTTTAATGAACCAAAGCGTCACCATCAGCTTCTTTTCCTTCTCCCCCCCTTCTTCTCCCTCCTTCTCCTTCCCCTCCTCCCCCTCCTCCTGCCCCTCCTCCCCCTCCTCCTGCCCCTCCCCCCTCCCCCTCCTTCTCCTCTCATCCTTCATCCCTCATCCTTCGTCCCTCATCCTCCATCTCTCATCTTCCCACTTCTTTAAAGGCAAAGCCCTTGTCACAGGTGAGGAAAGTACACACCAGGCCCCCGATCTCCCAAGTCTTGACTCAGTAGAAACTAGACCTTGACCAGCGGAGCTGTCTGGAAACAGAAAGGCCACCCGCGGAAGCGGTGACTGTCCAGCTAGTGACGATGTGCAGGCTTAGGTGTGCTGGAGGGGACCCTGGGGTGGGAGGGACAGCCCGAGAGGTCTTAGATAGCAAGGGAGAGGGCGCTACGGCCGTGCCCGGGATCGATGGCCCTGGGCGTGTTCTCCCTGCGGTCAGCACCCTGTCCCGGGAGGGCACGTGGCTCAGGCCCTCACGCCAGCTCTGTCTCAGGGTGCCGTCGGGGAAGGAAGCCTGACAACAGCGGCAGCTGCTGCAGAAACGCCCCTCAGCACTTGTGAGGACGAGGACGAGGAGGCCAGCGGGGTTCCCACTGGTGGCCCACCGTCCATCATCCCCACAGCGGCCCCGGAGCGCGCGGTCACTCCTGTAAGTGCTCTCAGCAGGCAGAGGGCCAGCGCCCGGGCCAGGAGCGCTCGCCTTCCCGAGCAGGTGCCCACCAGCCTGTGGGAGCGCCCGCGGTGGGTGCCGGCTTCAGGGGGCGATGGAGGGCACGTGACAGGGGGCTCAGGGAAGCAGATGTTTGTCCCGACCTGCTGCCTCCTAGCTTTGTCCAGGAGGACCTTTCCAGAGAGAATGGCCAAAGCCGGCGGGGGTTGCCGGGAGGAGGGGGCAGTGACCGCCACACTGGGCACGGCGGCGTAGAGGAGACGCCTGTGTCAGAAGGGGATCGCGAGTCTGTGCTGCTGTGACTGTGTCGGGCCAGGGACAGCTGTAGGTGGGAGTGTTTGTAGAGGGGTTGGTGCCATCGAAACAACAGGCACCGCACTCAGGAGGCAGCAGCGTGCCCACACGTCACGGCGAGGTGACTTGGTTCCTCCTGTTGGTTTTGTTTCCAGGGTCCCAGTGATGAAGAAGACTTGGCTGCACCCACCACAGAGGAGCCCCTTTCCACGGCAGGCGCAGAGGAGTTGGGCAGCGCTCCCCCTGGGGCGCCCCCGCTCCCCATCCCCACGGTGACTTCTAAAGCAACGGTCCCTCCGGTGAGTGGCGTTGAGGCGTGAAAATTTGGCTTGGCCAGTTTTACAGAGGAGAGAGAAAGGTGGGGACCCCGGGAGGAGCCTGCCCCTGGCTTTCTCAGAAGTGGGTTTTCCTTTCGGTTTGCAAACTGCCCCACGTGGGCACTCGAGGGGCCTCCAGCCTGGGAACACACAAGGAAGCTGAGGTGTGTAGCGGAAAAAGCAAGATGTGAACATCGAGGGCACTGGCTTTGCACCCCACATGGCCCTTACATTGAAATGAAACCCTCTGGCAGGCTGGGCTCACCGAAATGCCAAGGCCCATCTCAGACGTCCGGAGATCCCGTCCTGGGGTGGGCACTGCCGAGGCGATGGAGGCATGGGAGGCGGGCGCGTGGGGAGGCGGTCAAGTCCCTTCCAACATGAGTTTCTGTGATCTTGGTGGCGCCTGTGCGACCTCACGCACATCCTTTCTTTCCTTTGGGCCTCATTTCCTGTCTGCGAAAGAGGGTGACCGGGAGGTCACATCATTATCCCAATCGGGCGTCCAGGTCCCGCCTCCTGCCGCCCTCCCTCTGGAGCAGAGCAGAGAGGCGTCCTGGAGTATTTCAGAACAAATCCCGAACATCGTATCACTTAACTCGTAAACACTTGCTTGTGTACTGCTAACAGGTTGATCGGACCTTTTTCCCTTACCCACAATATCATGATCCATCTAACAAAATTAACAACGTTCTTCCCTATGACCCAATACTGTAGTTTAAAAAAATCTTTTTACTAATGTTTGACTCTGGATCTGCACAAGGTCGGCTCATAACATTTGGTTGATATGTCTCTTAGGTCTCTTTTACTCTGCGGTTGTCTCCCACCTTTTTCTCTTACCCACTGATTTGTTGAAGGAACTGGGTCAGTGGTCCTTAAGTCCTTCGTGTTTTCTGCTTCGGGAAGTGGGCAGTTGGTGAGGGCGTGGTGAGACCAGCTATGCTGCTGAGAGTGTTGATGGGTTTATTACTTCGGGGAAATTGTTTGTCAACATATATTAACAACCATATGGTTGACCCAGAAGCTTCTGTTCTAAGAATCCATCGTAAAGGAGAGGCTGATGTGTGAAAAGGCTTGGTGGACAAGGATTTTAATCTGCGTTGTCCATAGTAGAAGAAAATCAGGCATGATTTAACTAGCCAACCGTGGTTGGTTGAATTAAAGTATATTAAAAAACAAAACATACGCAGCTATTACGATTATACGTATGCAGAGTATTTTGTGATGGAGGAAAAGACCATGCAATGTTAAATGAAAAAAGCTGGTTATAAATTTGAGCATATTGTGTGGTCTTAACTATTTAAAAATAGACACATGCAAAAACCCTGGAAGGAAGCACCCTCCCTAAATGTTAGCAGTTGCTGCCTCAAAGTGGTAGAACTGTGAGGTTGTTAGGTTCCTAACACGTTTCGGTGTTTCCACCATCCCCTATGACTTTCACAGTGGGATTTTGAGAAGCTCTAAGAAGAGGGGTGGTGGGGGGCAGTGGTTGTGGGGTCAGCAAGAAAGTAGGAAAGGAGACACGAACAGTACTTCCTCCTGGCACGTTGCTGTGGAGCTGGAGCACTCTCGAGAGCCAGGGATCCACAGTGAACGGAACTGGTGCCTGATTCCTGAGCAAACGGTTTAAAAGCACAGTAAGGACAGTCAAGAGAGCATTCACTCTGGAAAGTCTTTAGGATCATTTTAAATCTCAGAGTCACCCAAGGCCGTGGGTGAGAGGGGCATCCAAGCCTGGCTGTGCAATGTAACTGGCAAATTCCATCTCTCTCTCTCTCTCTCTCTCTCTCTCTCTCCCCCTCTCTCTCTCCCTCTCTCTCTCTCTGTCTCTCTCTCTCTCTGTCTCTCTCTGTCTCTCTGTCTCTCTGCCTCTCTCAGTTTCCTCCTGCATATATGCGCATCATAGTACCTACATCTTGGGTTGTTGTGAGGATCGAATGAGTTACCACAAGGAAAATCTTACCTGTCATGTAGTACACGCTCAGTAAATTGGGCATATAGAGTTATTGTGCCAATGAGGCTCAGAGAGAGTTAAGGGTTTGCTCAAGGTCACACAGCTCCCAGGAGTTGAGAGGAGTGAGTCTTAGTGTCTGGACTTTCTACTTTTGTTTTCTGCACTGTTCATAACTGCCGTTTTCAGATATGATCCAGAAATTGAACAGCAAATCCCATAGTGGTCCCAATGGGATTCTATTTCTAAGGTCATGTGGCAAATAATTACCAAGAGCTTCTTATCTGCTGGGTGTAGGAGACGTACCAGTGGCTAGATGTTAGGTAGATACTAGAAGGGTGTTTGGGGAATTTTCTCTTGTTCTCTGGAGGAATTGATGGCATTCAACAAGTATGCACCGAGTGCCTCTCGATGCCAGTTCTCGTGCTAGACACTAGGCACCCAGAGGTGTCTCAGGATTGGGCTGACCCTGGAGGAGTCCTAGTCTAGAGTGGCTGATGGACCGCGCACAACTGAACTTCAAGTCAGGTGGTCCTGGCACCAAACTGAGACCTCAACAGAGGCCCGTGAAAACCCAGAAGGAAGAAAGATAAATTCTGTCTGAAAATGGTGTCAGGGAGGGCTTCATGGAGGAGGTGACCATGGAACTGGGCCTTGAAGGATGACAGGGATTTGGAAAGCAGGAAAGGAGGCTGAGGAGAGGTGAGAGCATGTGTAAACCTGCGGGCAGCTGCGTCTTGGCTGCAGAGCAGGGCACGGTGAGGGAGGGGGTGGCGTGGGAGAGAGGATCGGAAGGAGCGGTGCCAGCAGAAGTTAACAGGGCTGCGGAATGTGGGAGAACTCAGGGCGGGGCTGTCCTCGGGGTGGCTGTCGCGATCAAGTTGTGAGAATTTTTTCTCTGCAGGTGGGAGCGGAGGCTGAGGGCTCCGACCTGGGCTGGAACGTGGACAGCGGCTCTGGCTCCGGTGACCTGGGGCACAGCGAGGAGCTGTTGAGAGTGAGTGTGAAGGTGTCCGGCTGGCCTTCACAATGATCCGGGGGGAGGGACGCAAGGGCAGACGCAGATAAAACCAGATTGGCCACCGTCAGTAACTGTGAGGCTGACGGTTAGGCTCCCGGGAGCCCCTTATATTTCTCCCTCTTTGTGTATATTTGTATACATTTCTCCATGTCAACAGTTTTGTGTTACGTGAGTATGAGCCTAAGTTTATATTCAGAACTTCCGCTTGCCTCCCTTTCCCGGCAGCCTTCTCCAGCAGGTGTGTCCATGACCTTCACCTCTACAGGTTGGCTCCTGTCCCCACTCCACCCCTTACCCGTCACAGAGACCTGCTGGCCTTTTCTAGGTGGCATTTCACACTTTGGCTCCCAGACGCTTCTTGAAATTCTTCCTGAGGTGGTCCCCCGCCCTACTCTCCACACCACTTCTCCCTCTGGGGTTTCTTGCCTCTCTGGCCTCCTGCCCAAGCTGGACCGCCACTGGCCTGTCCCCCAGGGAGCACCTCCCTTCTCCAGCCACAGCTGGCACCACTGTCTCTGGCCCCCAACCTCACCTCCATCTCTTCCCTGAGCCCCTTGCTGAACCCCCACATCCATGGCTCCGCTCAGCGGCCCCTCTGCCCACTCCTCACGACAGGGTTGGAGGGATTTGGGATTCACTGCGCGGGTCTTCAAGGCGGATGGGATCGGCCAACCCAGATGGAGGCTAAAGAGCCTAGCACGGTGCCGGAAGCTTTTTAACAGCAGGAGTTTGGGACCTCTCGAGTAATCAGAAAACGAAATTCTCCAGAGCATCTCTGAGAATTCCAGTGAATTGGGTTTGATGGTGTATATACACCTAAGGAGAAAACATAATTCAATGGGCTCAGAAGACCTGGCTTCAAGCCCCAGCTCCTCTACTAGTCACCTGTGTGGATGACCCCTTCAGCAAGTTATACATCTCGCTGAGCCTGTTTCCCCCTCTGCTAAGTGGGAACACCAGGCTCTACTCGTAGGGTTGTTGTAAGCAATGGAGAGAATGAATAGAATATATATGCTCAGTATGTATTTATCCTCTCCCCTGTTGTTTCTGAACAGACTGCCTATTTTTCAGGGTCCCCCAGGCCCGCCAGGCCCACCTGGCTTACCTGGGATTCCAGGAAAACCAGGAACTGATGTTTTCACGGGACCCCCTGGGTCTCCTGGAGAGGACGGAGCTGCCGGTGAACCCGGGCCCCAGGTGAGCCACTGACATCTGTCCTCCACTGCTTCCTTTAGCCAGGCGGGGCACACAGACTGCAGACCCCGGCACTAAGCTCACTACGGGAGTGGAACGAGCAGCTAGCTAATGTTTGTAAACAAAAATCCTCAGCCAAGTCATTGCTAAGACTCCTGAGATGCAGCAGCCAAGAAAAACATCATCCTACACATTGTTCTGCTGCTTTATCTTAGTCATTATAGGAAATGCAGACGCACGTGGAATCCTGGAATCATAGGACGTCAGTGCTGGGCCTGGGGTGGGAGGCCCTCAGAGACCATCTAGTCCACCCCTGCCCCTGATGTCCCCACGGAAGAGAAAACTCGACCCTCGTCCACAGGTGCTCAGTCTCTGCTAGGCTAGGATGGCATTCTGCCATGGACCTGGCACAAGGCCCTGGGCCCACCAGCCCCACCTGCTGGGTGCTCCCAGCCCTGGGCTCCTTTTCCAGGAAGGGTTTGTTTTGATTCTTATCAAGGATGTTGTGAGCTCATTGTCATGGATGTTTTTCAGGGCCCCAAGGGACAGCCTGGACTTGATGGAGCCTCTGGCCTTCCCGGGATGAAAGGAGAGAAGGTAGAGAGGGTGGGAGGGTGGGAGGGTCCTCACACAGGAGCCACCAGGCCCTCACCGCCCCTCCCTGACCTCTAAGTCTGTGAATGACCCTCTCCCATCCCCTCCTGGTCCTTTCTGCTGATGTCTGCATCCGGGGCTCTTTATGCCAAACCTGCACTCAGCATCGTCCTTGCCCACTCCTGCACGTCCTCAGCCTCAGTGAGTGGTACTGCCATCTACCCAACCACCAAGACTCAGAAACAGAGCCTGCTCTAATGCCTCCTTCCTCGCCCTCTGCTGCCATGGTCTGTCCATCGCTGAGCCTGGCCAGTCTGACGTCCACATCTCTGACTTCTCTGTCCAGCCTGGTCTGACATTCACCTCTCCTTACCCACAATGTGACATCAGGCTCCTCACAGCCCCCCATGCTCCCATCCACAACCCAGCCTCCACCCACCTGCCCAGGCTACTTCCCATAGCCGGTTCGCATCCGGCACTGCCCTGTCGGAGGAGAAAGTATCACTGTCTCCCCACTGCCTCCAGGACAAAACCCTAATTATGCGCAGACCCTCAAGGCCCTTCCCGACCTGACCTGCCTTTCCAGCTCCAGCTCCCAGCTTCCAGCAAGCCAGCAAGCCCTCGTGTGGCCTCCGGGCCAGCAGCCCGACTGGCCTGCTCTGGGCACGCTCTCCTCTGCAGCCTCCAGCCTTTGCGCAGGGTTTTCTCTGCTCCAGGCCCTTCCCTCTCATTCTCCAAGGCCCCTTCAGGTATCCCCCCTGGGAAGCTCTCCCAGGTTCCTTCTGAGCAGAAAGCACCCTCCTTCCTCCTCTTCCCCTTAGACAGTATTGACTCTATTCAGACCGCTTAGCCAATGACACCAAGGCTGTCGGCTTACCTGTCTGCTCCCCACCCCGACCCGGACACACGGAGCACCAGCATTGTCTGTGAATCCTTAGAACCTCTCACAGGCCTCTCTTAGCCTTCAGTGAATGAATGAGCTTCTCTCAGGCCCCATTTGAGTCTTCTCGCATGCCTTCACGCTCTTCCTTGTCTGTAAGCTTCTTGTCTCCTGTCTGGAAGCCCTTAGTGGCACTGTGGGGGTGGGGCTCTGCCCCTCCAGTGTTCCCAGGCTGGTTGAGGAAATAAACCATGTCCCCCAAAGGAGGGCAATAAAGAGGAGGCCAGCCTCCTAGTGATGCGGCCCCGAGTTTCTTTGGGGTTCAGAGGATGGAGGGTGTCTCCCAGCAGGGATGAGGACAGGGACTTCTGCCTCCTCTCCCTGGATGAAGTTGTGGAAAATTCCTAGATACCACTGTCCTCACTGAACTGAATTTCCAGTCTCTGTCAGCTTTCGAGTGTGTTCTAATTGAACCAGTAACTGTATTTTGGTGGAAAGCTCATTTCTCAGAAAAAGAAGAAACAATTGCTGAGCTTTACAGAACTCATTTTACATGTACCAACTGTTTCAAAAGAAATTAAATTCTGCAGGAAACATCACAGACCTACACTCATCTTCCCTGTCCTTACCAGCTTCCCCCCACCCGCCCCCACACCCGCCCCCACACGTTCGTCTGGCACTTAGAGATGCCCACGCCCATATCCGCACACACCCGTGCCGCACGCTCAGCAGCTGCTCGGAGCCAGCTCTGCCCGGAGCAGCCGGCTCGCCCAGAATCATTGTGAAGGCAGATCGCATCCCCACCCCGAGTTTGCTCTGAGTCCCAGTCTGTTGCACTGTGTATGTACATGGTGCTTTGTGGGGAAGTCGAAGCAGAGCAAACTCAGGAAGACTTGGAAGTTTGCAGCTAGAGAGCTCAAGGAGAACCTTGCCCATGACATTTACCTAAAGGAAAAAACAAACAAACAAACAAACAAAAACACAAAAGGTAAACCAAGGAGCACATTCTGGGTGTCAAATAATAAAATTGTGCTAAAGAGCAGAAACCATCTTAGGGATATAACACAACAAAAGATCCAGTGATACATTTGGTCCTTGACTGCCCTCCACGAGGTGTGGTCTTCAGCTTGCACACCTCCCGTGACAAGGGACTCACCTGCGGCCCGGGCAGTGCCTTCCTTGGACATGGTAGGGAGGTCTTTCCTCCTGCTGCGAGGAAATTGGCCTGTTGTCACTTGCAGGACAAGTTGTCTGAAGTGGAGTTTTCCCCCAAAGAATAAGGTTCAGTTTATTGGGCTGAAAGAAAATTTTATATATAATCATTATTTTCAAATGTGGGATTGCCATCAAAATGTGGATGGTCATTAAGAATTTATCAAATAGCCTTGGCCAGTTTGGCTCAGCAGTTAGAGTGTCAGCCCTCAGACCAAAGGGTCACAGGTTCGATGCCCGGTCAAGGGCACATGCCTGGGCTACAGGTTCGATCTCTGGCCCCAGTCAGTGTTGTGCAGAAGGCGACCAGTCCATGTGTCCACACTGATGTTTCTCTCTCTCCCTCCCTTCCACTCTATCTAAAAATACCCTCAGGTGAGGATTAACAAAAACAAACAAACAAACAAAAAGAATGTATCAAATAGATAATTCTACGTTGAGTTCCATGATAGGAGTATTCCTTATTTTTCTCAAATTAAGACGAGCAGCTGATTCTGAGATGTTAGCCCACGAAGGAATAGGGAGGAACCACCTGCTTTCCCAGGGCCGGAATGCTTCTGGAGCGAACACGGAAGGCTCGCTGGAGACGAGCCACTGGGATACTCCTCTCCGCTTTCGTACCGCAAATTCCGCTGTCCGGGCGTCAGCATCTTCCTGTGATTAACAGCGTCAGTCTTTTCCTTCTTTCTAACCTGGGTCATTCATTGCCTTCAGTCTCCAAAGGTACCAGGACATCCGGGTGGAAAAAAGTCTGTGCTTTGACATTTTCTTCAGTGCCCTGAACTGCTGAGGAGCGTTAAGCCTCTAGTAGCTGGCTTTGCGTAATCTCCCTGAGCTCCTGAAATGTTATTGTTGGCATTGCAAACCGATTCTCTTTTCCATGATATGTAAGAGAAATGCAAAAAAAAGCATCATTATCATCTCTTTCAACTAGTCATCCCAAAGGGTTTGGAGCAGCTCTCTGCGACTTGTACAGTGAAGAGCAGGGTTCTGCTCCAAACCCGAGCAGCCCGCCGCGCTTGACTGCGATCCAGCCATGGGTATAGAGCTTGTAACAACTTATTTCAATCACACACTCTAATATTGGCCTGATTTCCCATTTTATATCAGATTTTATCATCAGACATGTTTGGTACAAAATCAGGATGATAGGCCTCCATAAAACTAAATGAACTACAGTCACTTGCCATTCTAACAGACTGAAGTTATCAGTACAGCAGACACCATGAGCAAACCAACAGGCATCACGGGCAATGAATTGTGCTGGCTCAGAAACCACAACAGGAAAAAAAGTCCATGTATTTATGAGGCTCGTTTCTTTTGTTGGTGGTGGTGGTGCTCCTGTATGAGGAAGTCTAATAATGTCCTTAGCAAATCTAGTTACCATAACGAGCTGAAATGTCTAATGGATTCTAAGCCATGACTTGCAGTACACAGCACTGCTTGCTGCTTCCTGCTCCCGATTCCTTCACGGGCGCCTGGTACACCTGACCCCTCCGGACCTCCCCGTAAGGAGACCCGCAGTGGTGCGGGTCGAATTCCGCGCGTGCGCGGCCTCCACACAGTTCTCTCGGCGAGGAACGGAGTACAGCTCTACCACCACTTGGGGAGTAGGGGGTCTTTCCTGATCCCTTCCAGTGGGGCTCCCACTTTCCCCGCTACCTGTTTATGTAAATTCCAATAAGAAGAGCTCGTCCGTCCCCAAGCTGATCTTCTCATAGTCCAAAGTGGTGGCCACCGCATCTGACCCAGTGGAATGGGCCCAATGCCGTCTGTGCACGCACAGGGCCTCCGTAGCGTATTCTTTCTGCAGTTGTCCCGTCAGGTGTGTCTCTTCTGTGGCCCAGCCCTCTGTCGAGCTCTTTCTTCCAACAGTTATGTATTTTTATTTCTAAGATCTCGGCTTGATTCCTCCCATAACCGCTGCTGTTCGTTCAGAGCGGTCTGTCTCGCGACTGTAACGTCCTCGCTCTTCTCGCTGAGGGTGTGTGCATGCTCCCAGCACTGACTGGCGGTGTCCTTAACTCTGTTCCCTCAGGCACACATCACTGTCGACCTGCTGCCTGTCTGTCACAGTGCAGCCTTCCCTCGGACGGGCGGTGTTTCTTGCTTTGGGAAGTGGAGGCCCTGTTTGGTCTGTCTTCCGTGTGCTTTTACAGCCTTCGGGGAGCTGGGCAGCAGCTGCTCGGGGCCATCCAGGTTTCAGAGAGGATGGGAGGCGTAGGATGTGCCATCAGGCGGGCACCTCAACAGCTGATCTTTTGAGTTTGGGGTACCCCTAGGCCTCCCGGGGTTCCGTAGCCCCGGGGGCTCTGCCCTGTCCTTTCGCTCTAGGAAATAACTCTTACTGGTGTCGTCCTAGACATGGGCGGGAGGTGAGGGAACAGGCAGGGCCCCGTGGCTGTGCTCTGCTCTCCCTGGCGCCACCGCCACTCTGCCCGACGCTGCTCTCCCCGGCTGCAGCTTCCCATCTGCTTCCCTCGGATCTTCACTGTTTCAGGTTCAACGCGACTCTCCACTCCTGTCTTCGAGCGTAACTCTTTCGGAACTACCCGCTCTGTCGTTTCTGTGGAACTGGGGTCGGAAAGGGAAGGTGGCCCAGGGAAATGGGGCGGGGAGAAGGGCAGGTGCATCGTGATCCGGCATCAGGGCCTTTCCTGTGGCCCTGCAGTTGCCGGCTCCTCCCAGGAGGGTGCTTATGAGGTTTCCTAGTGATTCTCCAGCTGGGGACCCCTGCAGTCCCCTGATGTAGGACAGTGTCTCCTGTGGATAACTGCTCTTGACAACCAGCCCCTCTAGGTCCTCCCTTCTGCCCAGAGTTCACAACCGGCTCCTTTCTGTGAGCTGCACATATAACTGCCCAGGAAGCCTGCACTGCAGCCCCCACTTGGGGTGGACCTGCAGCCTGCTTAGGGCGACTCCTCATCCCCACTCTGGGCCATTCCAGCCAGCTCTCAGGCTCTAGATTTCTTTCAGAAGAGTCTGTCATTATTCTGGGTATCTCCAAAAGTCCAGTGAATACACATCAAGTTCTTTTTTTTCCCTTTATTGATTTTAGAGAAGAAGGGAAAGGGAGAGAGAGATAGAAACATCGATGAGAGAGAACATGGATTGGCCGCCTCCTGCATGCCCCCCACTGGGGACCGGGCCCACAACCTGGGCATGTGTCCTGGCCGGAAATCGAACCAGCAACCTCTTGGTGCATGGGTCGATGCCCAACCACTGAGCCACACCGGCCGGACCACATCAAGTTCTTGAAGGCCCTTACTGTGGCCTTGAGGGGGGACTTCCCTTCACTTCCATCGTGGGAGGGGTGGGAAAGGGGCAGCTCTCTGCGGGAATTCTTCCTCTACAATCTCCATGGTTCATCTTCAACTTACTTGTACTCTTGAGGTAGGTGATGAGCTAACAGTTGGAAAATGGGCCTCCCGAGCCTTCAGCATGACTTGCCTGCAAACTGACGACTCTCGTGATGCACTCGGCTCTGAGACATCAGCCAAAACCGAGACAGGAGGAGCCCGTGTTAATATCCTGCTGCTTAAGAGTCCATGGTTCTAATCTTCTGCTGATGGTACCTAATCGGCCCCTTTCTGCTTGTGTTTCAGGGAGCAAGAGGGCCCAATGGCTCAGTCGGTGAAAAGGTAAAAAGAAAAGTTTTTCCTCCTTCCTCCCCTTTCTCTGGTCTCACGCTAATTGGACTGTGGGCTGGCGCGCTGAAGGTATCCGTGTGGAGCAGAGAGACAGGCATCTCAGAACAGCTGGAGACGGAGGGGAGGGAATAACCTGCCGTCTGCTCCTCCTTCTCTTCCACGCAGACGCGCTCACACGGGTGCCTCAGCCTATCAAGTGCAACGTCAAGTAGCCAGACAGCTGTTTCTGTACCATTAAGCAGTAAGGATCAGAGGATTCAGCAATCTAATTAAGCTTAAAGAGTGATTTTTGTGACTCGGGGTATGTGTTGTTCCCTCTGTGAGTGAACCCAGCGCTGTCCTCTTCCTCATAGGGTGACCCCGGCAACAGAGGCTCACCAGGACCCCCAGGGAAAAATGGACAAGTTGGCACTCCTGGGATCATGGGACCGCCAGGGCCTCCTGGACCCCCTGGGCCCCCGGGCCCTGAATGTGCAGTGGGGCTTGAATTTGAGGTACTTTCCCCCTCTCTGTGGTGGAAGATGACATGTCCTAAGGATGACTGGGAAGACCAGTAGCTGGAACACCGGTCCGAGGGCAGGGGCTGTGCTGACTCCCACCAAGCTCCAGCTCCCCAAACCACGCCTGGCGCTGGCAGGTGCTCGGGAATTGGATCTGAAACCCTCCTTCTTCTTCCTTCCCTAGGAAATTGAAGGATCTGGAAGGATTGGGCTGCGGAATGAACTCGGAATCTCTGGACCAAAGGTTTCAAGTGTAGGTTGACTTTTGAAACTGTCATTTTGAGGAGTGTCCTGCTGTCACGCTGGAGGGAGGAGACTGCGGTGCCATCCTGGCTGTTTCCACCAACACACCTGCTCTGAGCCTCCAGTTCCCAGCTGTGCAATGGGAGGCTCGGTTCTCTTTACCGGGTGTTTCTCTGCGGAGCAGTACAGCGGTTTTGCATGAAACATCCTGGGGGAAAACTTGAAGATCCCCTTTATCTCTGTCCCTCTGCAGTCCCCCACCATCCAGCACCTCTGCTCCATTGCCTCCTCCTTACCACCCCACTCAGTGCTCACACATTGACCCAGGTCAAAGCCCAGCTCCTGGCAGGTGCCCCTCCCCACTGTATCTAGCCCCAGGGAGGTCGGAGGTGTTGTCCATCTTCTGCTATGATACCTGCTGTTAAGAGGACCAGCCCCTGAGGCCTCGTTATCTTTGTCACATGGGACCCAGAGCTGAGCATTCTGTCCAGGAGGAGCCTCACTTTGCAGAGGGGAGCACACCACCCCCTCCATGATTGAACGGGAAGACCTTCCCCATCCTCCAGATGCTGAGGGCTCTGAGATTCAGTCACGAGGACACTCCCCCTGTGCTGGGAGAGGACCTGTGGTCTCCTCGCTCTGTGGAGTGTTCCTTCTGACTTGGGGAGGGGAATTTGCCCCTCATCTTTGTTCCCCTTGCCTGGGACAAAATCCATGCAATTGTATATGGAGAGATGGCAAGATCCAAGGATAGATTGATAGTGAGCTAAGTGAATAGGAAAAATAAAAGGTGTTTGTTACTTTGTTTTGCCAGGGTCTCAAAGGAGAAAAAGGTGACCCAGGACTCAAGGTGAGGTCGCGGATCTCGGGTGGGGTGTGAGGACTGTCCAGCCTGGTTCTGGGAGCGTTATCCATATACAGTGAATTGTTTCTCGCTCTTACTGCTGTATCCAGGGTGAACGAGGGATGGATGGAGACAGCATTGTGGGACCCCCTGGGCCCAGGGGACCGCCAGGGCGCATCGAGGTCTTGTCTAGTGTGAGTATTGTGCAGGTCATAATGTGGCTGTTAATTTTCTGTCTTTGCTAAAGGGGAGAGAAGATTGTCCACAACGTTAGGGCTGCTGATTTTGCAGGGGACACATAGCCAGCATCTGGCACTGACGTTCCCACCTGCCAGCATCCTCCCCTGTCTGTTTTTACCCTGGTACCACCCTTCTCTCACATGGTGCTTCAAGAGTACTCTCTTCTGGTTGGCAACATCTGCAGTCACGAGAATGGCTGTAACAGAGAAGCAAAGGAACATAAGTGGGGACACAGGGAGGAAAGACGGTTTGGGATGTGATAAATCAAGGAAGACTTTCTGGAGGAAATGTCTTTGAGCAGGAATTTAAAAGCCAAGAATGATCTTACTACACAAGCATGGAGGATAGGACCTCCAGGGTTCAGGTGACAGGGGCACTCTGATACAAAGCACAGGGTAGGAAAACAGGTGTGTCCAAGGCACAGAGAGCTTGGGTCTGAGGGTCGGTAGAGAGTGAGGGACATTTGTCATGAAGACTGGGATGTGGGCTGGGACCAGATCATGGTCCACTTAATATTAGGACATCACATTTGTGAAAAATTGTGGCCCTCTGAGAGAAATGATGTTACATGGTAGACAACAGAAAGTCAAAACATCCCAAATAATTAGAAAAAAAGATGACTAGAGTAAAACAATATTTTATATATATAATTTAAAATATCAAGTGTACATAAGGGTGTGGTGAAACAGATAATCTCACGTGCTTCGTGGGAATGTATGACCCCTTTAGACAGCTCGTTGGCAATCTGTTAAAACCAAAAATGTCTATACCCCTGAGTTCCACATGGAAAGGTTTCCATGCTGTTGGGTTGAGTGAAAAAAGCAAGGTGAAGAATAATGCAGACAGCCTGATGCCATTTATAGAAAATAACTACATGGCCGTACAGCACAGGGAATACAGTCAATAATACTGTAATAACTATGTCTGCTGTCAGATAGATACTAGACTTACTGGGGTGATCATGTTGTAAGTTATAGAAATGTCTAATCACTATGTTGTACACCTGAAACTAATATAATATTGTATGTCAACTATAATAGAAAAAATGACTACTGGACACACATGTGCACACACACACACACACCAATACTACAAGCTTTCTGTGGATATATATTAAAAGAGAGAGAGGCATTCATGTATTGTGCAGTTTTAAGACTGGTTGAAAGAGGAAAGCGACAAGGCAGAAGGCAGCCCCGAGCTGTTGTATAATCAGGGGGACGGGTGGGTGTGCTGGCAGTGGGTTCGGGGTGTCGTCAGTCTGCCCGGCTTCTGCCATGCTGGCTGACTTTAATTGAAGCCTGACTGCCAGGAGCATGGTGGCACATGTGCCACCCTGTCTCATTGTCTGTTTTCTTTTCTTTTCAGTCTTTGATCAACATCACCCATGGATTCATGAATCTCTCGGACATTCCTGAGCTCGTTGGGCCTCCAGTATGTATCCACAGTTGTCCTAGAGTGACTCCTACCCATGTGTCCTTGTTGAAACGAGGCTGGGTTGATTTGCAATCCTTTTAGCTGCTGAAGCATAGAGCTAGGCTATACCAAAGTAGAGTGGAAAGAGAACTCTGCATTTCCGAGACGTTGCTGTCACATCAATTTGACCGCGCAGGGAGTTTCGTCCAATGCAGTGGAAGCTCCCAGTCGCATGCATCAGAAATGCATGCCTTGGGAATGACAGAATCGTAGGTAACAAACCGACTGCCGTCTGCGCGGTGCCTTTGGCCTGCTTGATTTACGTGATCTCATTTCACAGCACGGGAAGAGCCTAAAGAGACCTATCCTTGTGCTGATGGGCAAACTGGCACAGGAGGAGGGAACAAGACTTGCTTCAGTCTTTCTAGCCCCATTTTAGACATCAGGATCACATAGAGAAGCCACAGTATTCCTGCAAGTGCACAGAGTCGCTCCCTGGCACGTAGTACTTAGGAGGAAGGAAGCGTCCTCTTGCAGCCTGTGCAGTAAACCCCCCTCATCTTCTAGCATCTGCTCACGACATCTGGGGAGAGAGGGAGGAGCTCCAGCCATGGGAGCCTTGGGGTTCCAGCTGTATCTCTGTTACACACCACTCTGAGCCTCTGTCTTTCTCTGATGACACCTCACCGGTTTGGGGGGCAGCTTATAAAAGATTGTAGGTATGAGACTGCTTTGCAAACTAGGGCACTCTGTGTAAGTCAACATGGAGATCGAGGCTTATACTTCCACAGCTGTGCAGTCCAGATGTCTGCTGGGCCACCCACTTCTGCAGTCCCCAGTGAGGTTGGCCTGAATCCCCACTATTCATTGCTCTCCCCAGGGCTTCTGCACATATCTGGGAGGTTCCTCTAGAACCGGTTTCTCCTGCTGCTGAGTGACCTCCACTGGCAGGTCACTGCACTGTCTCTTCTGTACTATATCCAATGGGGTCCCCTCTCTTTGATATCTACTAAAATCATCCCAAACCCCCTAATAATCAAACCCTAAAGCAAACCAACTAACCAGCAAAAGTCAGTTCACAGAGGGTCTTAGTTTTCCCTGAACGATTGGAGGTTTAGGGTGCTAGTGGGTTGATACTAAAGCAAAACACAGACAGCCTACAACTAAAGATGCGGCATGTCCGTTTGGAGTCCCTGGGTTTTGTCCGGCTGCATTGCTGTGCCCCTACCCCAGAGCCCTCCTTCCTCCCCGACCCCTGTCCTCAAGCAAACCCAGGCCCGCGGGGCCCCTTCATCCCTGATGGAGGATCAGGGTCTTCCTATTCAGGCAGTTCCCTCCCTGGGAGGATTGAGTCCCTCATGCTTCCCACCCCGCTGTGTGTGCAGTATGTTGATGGACTTGTTGCCAACAAGGTTCTCTTGTGCCTCTATCTGTGTGTGTGTGCGTGTGTGTGTGTGTGTGTGTGTGTGTTCGGCCAAACTCATACACCTTTAGTAGGTGTGTGGGTATGTGGGCTGTCAGGAGGAAGAGTCCTAGCCCCATATAAAGTGAACCACAAACTCACTGTGCCCCAGAGCCTTTAAAATTCTCACTCCTACCTCAGGAAACGACCTGAGTCTCACCCACATGCCTCTGCTGCCACCCTGAAACACCCCAGAACACTCTGTGGCCCCATTCCTCAGAGGTTAGGAACCTGTTTGCTGCAAGTATGTGTCGAAGTCATGATGCATCTGTTGCCCGCAGAGGTTCAGAGGTTGTGTGTCCACCTGCAGTGCAGACAGTCCTGGCTCTGGGTGCGGGGACTCAGGGCGCCTGTGCGCAGTTCCGGCTCTGCTACTGACCAGCTGTGTGACTGCTGGTTCGGTCCTTTCCCGGGCCTCAGAATCCTCTTCTGCAAAATGGGTTGGGAGCCCCGCTGTGCGGGAACATGCTCAAGCCTTTGGAAGGTGCAGGGCGGGGTGGACCCTGGGGGTGCAGGGCTCCTGCTGGATCTGGAAATGCTGCTCCTAAACCACTGCTTTGTCTTTGTTGTGTCGCAGGGCCCCGAGGGTGTGCCTGGGCCGCCTGGGTTTCCAGTAAGTACCACCGCAGCCATCTGCTGTCTGTGCCCATGGCTGGGCTCATCCTGTTCCTCCCACCTGGAATGCCCTTCTCCATCTGCACGACCCGGCTCTAGCTCCGGCTTGCTCATGTAGCCTTTCCCTCTGCCCCCACCTGGAGGGATCCTGCCCTCCGTTCAGCCCCACAGGGTTCTACCTCTGCTGTGGTCCTGTCCTGCCTCGAGTGACAGCTATTTGTGTCCTCGTCTTTTTCCCTCCACTGCACTGTGACCATCTTATGGAGGGTTGGGTCTTACTCATCTCTCTCTACCTGATGGCCAGCCAGTGGTTGGCTTCCTATGAATGTGAGGGGATACGTCAAGCATTTCAAGTAGATACAGTGGATAAAGTTCCTACAGAGAGAGGATGGTGGCTATGGAGGCAGGGGGAGGGGAAACATAGCCTAGACATCCAATAATGAATAGCCTGTGCGCCCCACACTCTGCGGCTTCCACCACGGAAGGCGAAAGTGCATTTCTGTGTAGAAAGTGCCCTACTGGGTATCTCCCCCTTTAACACAGAAGACCAGATGGGGCCTTGTGAAAAGCTGAAGAGCATTAGTGTTGAAATGCCTTTTGAGGCAGACACGTGGCTATGTGAGTCATTGTCACAGAAAATATCTGCTGGAGTGGAGTGGAGGTCACCTTTGACGGGGTGAGCAGTGTTTGGCTCTGCAGAGGGGTGGAGGGGCATTCGTGCGGGAGGCATGGCAAAGGCAGAGAGGGTGAGGGCAATGGCTCGCTCCGGCTGTGTACGCAGTGTGAGGGGCAGCGAGAGACGAGATGCTGAGGCTGGCTGCGATGGGTTTGGTATCAAGCTAGGATGTCTGGATACCATCCCACGGGTAGTAGGGAGCCAGAGCAGGGGTGGGAGTCATGGAAGGTGAGTGGTAGGGGAGACAGGCTGCAGGATGGCCTGGAGGACCCTTGGGGAGGCAGAGGCAGCAGGACCAGGCTGTTCCCGTCATGCCCATTGGCGGAAACCAAAGTTCAAAGAGGCATGGGAAGGCCTCCTAATGCCCGGTGCTGTCTTCCTTCCACCGGACCATGATTTCTAGACCACTTATAATCAAGAAAATATCATGACTACTTATGACTTCCACCTACCAGGAGAATGGCACTCTCTATTCTTACTTCCATTTGGATAAAGCACTTAAATCTTAACAAACAACAAAACACCCTCCAATGATTTCTTCTAGGGCCCCACAGGACCAAAAGGTGACACTGGTGTGCCTGGATTTCCAGGACTCAAAGGAGATCAGGTAAGAGGCCCAGGATCTGGGTGGGGTCATGCTCCAGAATTTACTAAACATTTCAAATGGGCTGAAAGTAGCTGTCAACTTTTTAAAAAAAATTTAGACATACCATAAAATCCACCCCTTTGTTAAATTAATTGATTTTTAGCATATTCACAAGGTTGTAAACTATCACCACTACCTGATTCTAGAACATTTTTATCATGCCCCAAAGAAACTCCATATCTATTAGCAATCACTCTTCATCTGCTGACTTTCATAATCTCAAGGTTCCTCCAGGGTGAAGGGGGGTTGTGGGTGGAGAAATTGGTTTCCATCAGAGTTTGGAAAAAGAACTCAACCAACACGCCCTTGAATGCTGTTATCACACGTGCTACATTTTGTCTAACCGCCGGTGGGGCACCCCCAGCAGAGTGTGTTCCCTAAGGGAAGACCTCAGCCAGTTCTTCTTCTGTAGCTCCAGCACTTAGCACAGGGCCTGTACACAAATGGCACTCAGAAGATTTGCTGGATCAACGCATGTGTGATTAATGGCAGCCTTGGTCCAGAATCTTTGGAATACATGTTGGTAGGCAGAGCCCATCCTGAGCGCTCCCAGAGCCCTGAGCGACCTTTGTACCCTTCTCAGTTGGTGTTTCTAGATAAAGGGAGAAGGGACCTCCATAAACAGACTGCAAAGACTGGAGTGGATGCATTTATCCATCCATCCATTTATGGACTCATCCGTCTTATATCCATCCCCTAAGGTGTGCCAGCCGGATTCCTATGCTGAGCACTAGGGATCTAGAAATCAGACAAGAGGAATAGACGTGCAAAGAGCCAACAGAAAGTGTGGCATTGCCGTAATGGAGTCTGTGCAAAGCCGGTGGGAGCAACCCCTGAGCCTGCCTTGAGGAGCCAAGGAGGATGGCTGTCTCCAAGAGGAGGGATGGTTAGGGGGTGTTAGGCTTCTCCCCACCCCCCTTCCATACCAGCCCCAAGAAGGAGCCTCCAAGTCTCGGTTGGACCATAATTCCAGGAGGTGGAGGATTCAGTGTGCAGGGCAAAGGAGTCTAAGTTTGGCTCCATGTGGGGTGATGTCTTGAGATACTTTTGCTGCCAGGAACCTATGGATATGGGGTGGGTCCGGGCGACTCTGGCTTGGGAGGGGGCCCGGTCAAACAAGATCGGCTCTTGCTTCTAACACTCTGTTTTCTGTGTAATGAGGTCAGATGGATCTAGAGGGACCTCCGTGCCATCCCCTCCCCTAGTCCCCTGCCACCTCGAAAACGGGGCTGGGCACCCAGGCAGCTCTGCTCCAGTCCTAACAGGAAACTTGCTTCCTCCTGCTCTGCCTCTAACGCTTCTGTGCTTCTGCTTGCCGCTGGCGTGCTCAGGACGGCCTCTCCTCGCCCGCGCGGTAAGATCCTGACACCGGGCGCGGGCTCAGGGACGGACACGAGAGGCTGATCTGCTTGCTCTGGCTGCTTCCAGCTGCACTGAAGGGAGACTTGAACGGGGTCCAGCCCAGGGCCCAGCAGGAAGCCTGGGGCCAAAGCCTCAGTGACACAGAAGGTTCCCCAGATGGCCTTTTCTCAGGACACATCCCCTCTTGGAAGCCTTCTGGTTTAGTAGCTGGCCCTGCTGAGGACGGGACCCTATGTCCCTGCCACCAGTCTGCCCATCTCCCCTGATCCCAACACCTGAGGAACTTTGCCTGGTCCAGTTTCTACAGGAGTTTGGGGGCAGAGTTCCGCCTGGAGACACAGGGCCCTGTGTTGAAAGGCCTCTGGTATTCATACCTTCAACTCTTTCCCAATTTCAGATGTTTTAATAAGAATAAGGATTCTTGGTGGGAACAGATCTTGAGTCAAGTTGTTAGGAAAGCAAGCCCCCAAATATGTTAGGAGCCAGAGAGGTTCCGGGGGGCTGTGCAGCAAGGGGTGGGAAGGACCTTGATGGGCTGGTTCCCAGAGAAGGAGACTGTCGATCTGTCAGCGGTGCGGGCCCTGCAGGGGCTGGCAGGACCCCAGCCTGTGACGGGGCATGGAGGGAAGAGCCCCGAGAACGTTCAGCCGCTTGGGAGGCTGTTACAATACTCTGGCGGGGGTCATGTCTAAGCGGAGCGGTGGGGAGGGGTGGGGCGAAGGCAGCGGAAGTCCTGGCAGGGGGACTGAGAGGCCTTGCAAGCCTCTGGATGGGTCGGCGAGGGGCCCAACTTCATCGAAAGGTTCTCTGAATTGCAGGGTGAGAAGGGAGAGCCGGGTGCCATCCTGACGGGGGACATTCCTCTGGAACGGCTGAGGGGGGAAAAGGTAATTATGTCACCAGACCCTGAAGGCATACATCCTCTTGGTACCCGTCTCTGTTTCTGCCACCAACCATGTTCCTCTGAGTGACCAGTCTGTATCTCCCCATTCCAGGGTGAACCTGGGATGCACGGAGCCCCAGGACCGATGGTAAGTCAGGGCATCTCTCAGCTGGGTCTGGGCTGGGGTTTGACGCATTGCTCATACTTCAGTTCAATTAGACTGCGTTGTCCCAGTTGTGAAATAAAAAGGATGTGGCAGGAAGTGTGTGTGTCAAGGTAGGCTAACCGCAATTAAATGACAATCTCAGTTGCTTAACACAACAGCAGCTTGGTGCTCACTCATAAAGTCCACTAGGATTGTTCCTAGTTGGCCGTGTTTCCTCCAAGAAGTGACTCAGGGATCCAGGATGCTTGCAACCTGTGACTCTGTCATCTTGTGGGAACCACTCTGGCATCTTCCAGCTGCTAGGCCAAGGTTGAGGAGGGGAAAGAGATCAAGGAAGAGGATGAACATCACTTCTAGCACATTCTCCTGGCCAAGACTCAGGGGCCTGGGTGGGTGGTGTTTAGCCACGTGTCCAGGTAGGAGAGAACGGGGTGGTGGTGAGCACTCAGGGTTACATCACATCTTACCGGCCAAGGATTGCCCCTGCGCAGGGAACCCTCTGGGGAATCCCATAAAGTCGCTTTGGGCTTTGTGGGTTCTGAATGTGGGTCCACTGCTCATTTGCTGTGAGGCCGTGAGCAAGTCCCCTTCTCTGTCTGGGCTTCTGTTTCCCCCTGTGAGTGAGGGTGTTGGGTTAGTACCAGATGGCAGGGTAGCATCCTTCCTGCTCTCTCCAGGAATCTGTAACCCATTCGGGCTGCCAAGCAGTTTGTAAGCTACCAGTTTTCACCAGAATGAACCCTAAACTTCCCTGTTATGTATATTTCCCCAAAGAACATAGAGAAGTTAGGTGTAGAAAGAACATTCACTGTGTAGCAGATACTATCCTGATACTGTGTCCTGTTGGCTCCTGTCCTTGCTTTTCTTTTCCTGAGAGCAACACGGCTGGGTAATTGACACACGGACCTGTTTCAACTCAGTCTTCCATTGCCATGCCCCAGGGCTTGACCATCTGTGTTACTGGCAGCAGGAAGGAGGGCCCAGGCTTCAGCCAGTCATTCCCCTGGAGAGCCGCAGCCTGGCTGTGGGAGTGGGGAGGTGTGGCCTGGAGGTGGAGCTTGTTCTGGGAAGAGGTGGAACATTGCATGCACCCGGATGCCAGGATGCCAGAGGCAGGAGGGTTCCTGCAGAAACCTGGAGTAGGGCGGTGGCTCTGGAAACACGTGGACGTAGAAAGCCAGCCCTGGAATGACTAGAGTCCAGGAGAACTGGAGTGCCAGGCCAAGATCTGGTCCTCAGGGACAGGCAGGAAACAAGGCAGAAACCAAGTCCAGGCTCTCGGGTCAGGCTGGCAGGAGGAGCGAGGCGGGGTCGCATTATTCCAGTGGGGGCTGTGGAGAGCCCTGGAACATAAGACCTGGGGCACAGGTGCACATTCTCAGCTGGCCCGCAGCTGGCTACCTGGGTTCCTCCGTTAGCCTGACTGTCTGAGAGGACTGGGTGCAGAGTCTGGGATGGGGTAGAGCTTACAGGGGATGGTGATGGGTTGAGCATGTGGCCCCAGCAAAGCACAGCGAAGCCGGGACACAAGGAGCCAGGCAGGCGGAGCCATACTTGCAAGGAGCCATACTTGCTCCTTGTTGTCCCTCCTCCTGTTGGTGGTTCACCCTCGCCACGGCCCAAAAGGGCTGGTGGGGTGCTCCCATCTCCCTGGCGCTTAAGAGTCTGTTCTTTTCTGATCTAGTTGGTATTTGTTTTGCCTCTAGGGGCCCAAAGGACCACCAGGACACAAAGGAGAGTTTGGCCTCCCCGGACGACCTGTAGGTGTCGCTGTTCCTCACACTGGATGTGAGAGAGGACATGTGGGCCAGGCTGGCCGGTGGGCAGTGGGTTTACTAAGGCGTCTTCTGTGGGTTTCAGGGTCGCCCAGGACTGAATGGCCTCAAGGGCACCAAAGGAGATCGAGGGGTCATGATGCCGGTGAGTGCCCCAGCCCCTGCCCCTGCCCCACACCACCCTGGGACAGAGCCCACGGCCAGTGTCCGGAGGAGGGCTGAGAGAGTGCCTGGTCCAGGGAGAGAGGCTGTGCACAGCATGTTCAGGAATGTTTTTCTTCTTCCTCCACTGGTCCTTCCAAATGTCCTCCAGCCCAACTCTGTCCTCCAGCTCACTCTCAGGAGGGTCCCTGCCACCAAAGCACTTTAGTGGAAGGGAGCAGAAGCTTCCTCGCCCAGACCCCAGAGAGCGAGTGGGAGACCACCGTGTGCACATACTTAGGCAACCAGGTTTCAAATTCCAGGTCTTCTGACCAGGGTGACACCCGGTCTCCCCTCGGTTACAGTCCCAGGGACTTTGCACATCGCCAGGGCTCGGCAAATGCTTGTGAGTGATCAGCAGAGGAGGGTCAGCTACATAGGTGGGGCCTCACAGGATGGCAGACACTGGGCGCATCAGCAGGGCCCGGGGTCTAGAATAAGGAAGCCAACATTTATTAAGCACCTACTGTGTGCCAAACACTTTTAAGGATAGTGTATCAGTCTTAATGACAACTATCCTGAGAGACACTCAGTGGGGTCCTTGTTTTGCACAGAGGAACTGGGGCCTATAGAAGTTCAGTGGCCCCCTGAAGGTCACCAAGCTCAGACGCAAATGCAGCTCTAAGTTCGTTGCTGCTTCTGTCTGCACCGCCCTGTCTCTGCTTTGTATGCCCAGAAATCCAGACAAGCAGTTTTACTGAGGCATTGGGAAATAGCTCAGTCGTCAAGCCTGCTGGCACTCCTGGGAAAAGCAGACACGGTGCCTGCACTTGGGATGATCAGTGCAGCTTCGGAGTGGGCTAGACTCCTCATGCCTGCCGTTGGAGCCTCACCCTCCTGCTGTAACATCCTGCTTGGGATCCAGGCTTAGAGGACCAAACATTGCATGGATTGGGGCCAGGTTGACCTGGCTTTGAAAATGACTCTGCTACCTAGCAAGAGTTTTGCATTTATTTTTGCATTCATGAGGCACTCTCCAAGGTACCAGATCCCATGAAGAACCCCACCTCACTTGCCACTTCACACTAGGGAGATAGATGCTAATGGAAAGGTGGTGGACTCGGTATGGGCTGAGCACTGGTCTTAGAGTCAGAGTCTGGGTTCCAGTCTCCTGTCTGCTCACTGCTGTGTGGCCTCTCTGGGCCTCATTATCTCCGTCTGTAAACCAGAGAGCATTCTTGTTGTTCGGCTGTCTTGCCCGTGGGTTGTTGTGAAGATGAATGAGGTCACATGTGCAGACATGCTCTGTAGATGGGACTGGCTTAGCCATGGAAGAAATTAGTCAGCTTGAGAGGATCCTCCTTCCCTCGTGGTGTCCCCAAAACCTGGGGAGAGTCCCCTGCAGCTGCCTCTGCACTCGCAACAACCTGAACTCGGGAATGGCTTTCTTCCCAGGGCCCACCTGGCTTACCTGGTCCTCCAGGCCCCCCCGGATCACCTGGAGCTGTGATTAACATCAAAGGAGTAAGTGGGGTAGGGTGGGGTGAGTGGCGGGGAGAGACCTTCGTGGGAGAGCGGGCACCCAGCTGACCTAAGCCCGAGTCAGGGGTCGTGATGGCCTCACTTCGTTCCTTCTCGCCTCCCACAGACTGTCTTCCCCATACCAGCCCGGCCGCACTGCAAAACACCGGTAAGTAGCATATGGTCGCTGCCATGGAGCAGGCTGTGGCACAGGAAGCAGCTCAGAGAACACGATCGCTCTTTGTCTTGAGCTCTTTCTGTCCATCAGTGTCCTCTTTGCTGTCTTGGATCACTTACCTATAGACCTTAAGTGACCGGAAGCATCTGGATAACAGACCGTGACAGTGAAACGTACGGAATCTTCTGAGGGTGCGCAGGCTGACAGTGGTTCTTGCAACACAATCAAGAAGCAGTGTCTTTTGTTATCGTAACCAGTAGCATAAGGGAAAATAGACATCTTAAAAGTACGGATGAGAGAAAGAAGCAATTCCGACCCGTGCTCTTTGCGTTGGGAGCTTTAGGCTCAGAGCTCTGACTGACCACGGGCTGCGCTGTCCCGTTTGCCCGATCACTGCACAGCACATGACCTGCGAGGCAGGTTCTCTCTCCCTCTTATAATGAGGAGGCAAACTGTGGCTCAGACAAGCTCACGGACGCGTCCGAGGTCACCGGACCAACAGAGCTGGGGCTATTACTGAGGTCCCCTGACCACCAGGCAGCAAGTATAGGCACTGTGACCCCAAGTGGTCAGGCATGTAACTGGCCACCCAGCTAGTCAGTGGCACTGTCCCTGAGGTTTCGGCAGTACTGGGAGAAGCCTGTTTCTGTGGGGAACTCAGGAAGGTGGCCTCTCCCTGTGCACGAGCATTTGCCACGGAACAGTGTGCATCATCCCCTCGCTCATTCAGTAAGTACTGAGTACTTCCCCAATGCCAAGTAACCCACTAGGCCCTGGGGTGAACTAGACAGGGTGGCCTCTGTTCTCAGAGCTTGCAAATTACAATTTAGAAAGATCCCTTAAAAAATTAATTAATGTCATTTTAAAAAGATTCCTTGAAGTGGGTTCCTAATTCATGTCTGTTGGGGTGGTGATGAGGTGGATCAGAGGCTCCAAGATGATGCAGTCTGGCTGTGTGTTTGCCTAGACATTGTCCAGGTCTAACCTTTGAGGCACCCAAGCCTGCCACCCAGAATCTGGGAACTCTGGCCTGGAAGGCAGAGGATAGGACCCACCTGTATGAAGTGACCAGGATGTGTACTGGCTCCCAGATCTGCAGGAGGACAGCAGCAACCCAGGTCGTGTTTATGTCGATGGCCTGAACAGAAACAAAAATATCAGTGCTGAAGGGACTCTCCGGAGTGGAACAGAAGTGGAGACTGCAGCCCAGAGAGGCAAGGGCCCACCCAGGTTCCGCCATCAGATAGTGCCCCAAAGTCCTCCCCGATAGCACTGTTTCAGGCTTCTATTGGACCATGGGACGGCGCTTAACACACTTGAGAGTATTGTAAAAAATGCAACTGCAATTACCATGACCTGGATGAGGACGCTTCGCAGTAACCATGGCCTTTGGGGGTCATGAGGTTACATAAAAGAAGCCAAACATGAGATCAGAGCATTTTTGCAGAGTTTTTATTTCATGCTGCTGGGCATCATGGGAGCTGGGCCATCGGCATTTCTTGACCAGCTCTCAAAATGGACACTTGAAGAAGAAATGCTTCCTTTCACACCCAGCATTTTATTCCGCAAGCCCCTTCGAAACACAGACGCTCTCCAACCATCCCAGTGTGCACTCACCCCTGGAGGGGGCAGCTTCATCAGCAGAGCTGCAAGGGGTCAGCGTGGTGCTGCAGCCTTCACCCTTACCCTGGAAATGTCCTTCCTGAAGGATTCCCGTCCTCTCCATCTGCCTTCAGTGACCCCTGAGCCGCTTGTGACCCTCCCCTCCAAAGCACAGGGGTGTCCTGGCACTGGAGGGATCGTTCTGATTCCACATATCAACTGGAATAAAGGTGAAGGTGAACTATCAAAAGCATGGTTGCAGGGGGCTCTGTTTTAATAGGTAAAGAAATGGAGGAACCTGGGGGTGAACTAGGAAGGAATATTATCCAGAACAGCTTGGACTTCAGACCCCAGCACTTAATATGTCCAGAATAGCCTACCCAACCTAATGATAACCCTTGTTAATTGCCACTACCCTCAGTTCCTGTTCATTATGCTCATCCCTGACCCTCCAGTAAGCCACACTAATGGCAGCCCAGCCTTGTGGCTGCTGGCTACATCACTAGCCCGGATGCTTGAGCTCACATGAATCGATCCATTGATAAGAAAGGAGGCCAACAATACTCATGGTTGGCCAAACCAACACTGCCACCACTTACTGTCTTGAAGCTTTAGGCTTCCCTTTTGCAGAGTTGTTTGGCCAGGAGGCCTGACTCCATGACATTGCTCCTTCTGCCACACGCCCCCCAGGACAGGGGACAGTGGTGATCTGTGCATGCAAACACCGGGCAGCATTCACAGTGTATGACCTTGCCTTTCTCTCTCTCCAGGTTGGTACTGCTCATCCTGGGAATTCAGAACTCATCACCTTTCATGGTACATACTCCCTCTACCTTACGTTTCTCTTTCCAGATCCTCATGTCTCCGCTGGGGAGCTTACTCTTTTCCCATGGGCATAGACGAGGTGGTTAGGAAGACCTGGCTACCTTTGTGAGGAGTGGGGCTCAGAGCTGAGGGAGGCTGGTGGGACTGGGCATTGCTGTTTGGTTTTGGCATCATCTGTCTCTTCTACACATCTTGGCTGCGCCTCCTAGTTAGCAGGAAGCACTCCATTGTCCGTCCGTTTGTTCCTAAAGCATCCGCCGATACCTTCTCCTTGCTTGGCGCTGTCCCCCACACCGGGCTGAAACAGGTGACTCCTCCACCGTTCCTGCCACCCAGGCCCTTAGGCTCTGTTAGGTGAAAGTATTTAAAAAATCACTGTACTGCAATATACCAAGAGCTGGTGCAGGGCAGGGCTGTGGGTTTGCTCAGAAGACCTTTGCTGCAAAGTGTTCTTGGACCAGCAATGTCTTCATCTCCTGGAAACTTGTTAGAAACGCAGAGCCCTTGGCCTCGCCGCAGATCTGCTGAATCAGAAGCTGCATTTTAGCAAGCTCGCTGCTGAGGCGCATGACAAGTAGAGTACGAGAAGCCCTGGCTCTGAGCATTTGATTAGCAAATGTCAGCAAATTCAAGGCCCGTGGGGGCTCACTTACCACACACACCAGAGAGTGGGAAAGGCCAGGGAACTGGCGTGCAGGCGAGCGCTCACGCTGGTCCCTGGCCCCACTCTCTTTTGTCCCCACACGCTTTGACTGAGAAGTCTGAGCACTTGCAGTTTAAACAGGGGCAAGCTTTTTTTCTTTCCAATACTGACCTCTGGCTGGGCTCTGTCACCCCGGCCTGCCAGGTGGTGGTCTCCCTGGTGACATCTGGCCCCATGGTTCTCCTGGACTTCACAAAGTCCAGCCTGTCTCAAACTCCACGCTCAGACCCAGTTCAGGGCTTTCCCTTCCTCCTACCGCAGGTGGGCCTTGGGGAGGAGGAGGTGGATGCTGATTTGCTTTCTCGGATCCCCAGTGGCTCCCCTTCCTCGCGCGGTTCCACTGGGAGGAGGGGGAGGGAAAGACCTTCCTGGGCGCAGCCCCAGTGAGCCTGTCACCCTCCCACTTACCTGTGGGTCTGCTCTGCTCCCCCGGATGAGCAGCTCCCCGGGCGGCGGTGAGCTCCCTGTCCTCTTCCCGGGGCAGCGCCGCTGTCTGGGGTCTCACTGTGGCCTCGAGAGCCCGCTCTCCAGGTCCTGCAGCAGCTCCCCCAGTCAGTGAGGCCTTGCCAGGTGTGATTGCGTCTCCCATGGACCCCCAGCCGGCAGCAGCCTGCCTCTGATACGTTCCTTCCCCACAATGGGCAGCCTGAGCCCCAAACTTCATCTACGCCGTGTGCCCCGTCTCTAGGCACGAGAGCGTTGTTTGGTTCATCTCTTATACCTCTTGGGAACCAGGAATTCAAAGATCTAGTTCCACGTCTCATCGAGGTGGGGGAAAGGGGTCACCTCTCTCTCTGCATGCTGAACTCCCAACAGGAGCTCATGCCTCTCTCCCTTATAAAGAGTTGGGGGCAAGGGGTTGCCTATGATGCCAGTTCTGCAGAAAGGGTGCTTCTCACAAGCCCTGCAGGGAGTGGGTGTCACACAGTTGGCATTCTCCCAACTTTCTCAGTGAAACGCTTAGCCCCTTCGTTGTCCTCTGCGGGCACCCAGGAGATCCTTTCGTCCCCTGGCACCCCCGATGGGGCACAGGCAGAGATCAGATGGGCCTGCAAGCCTGAGTTGGTGTGGAGCCTCAGGCATGAGTGTGAAGTCGTGGGAGTCAATGGTAGCTTCTGCTGGGCTCCCATGATGCACTGCTGGTGCCTTCATGACACCACTTATTCCGTCCTGCTTCCCATCACCCTTCACTGTGCCTGTCCCCCCAACAAGCCTGTCCCCCCAACAAGACTGAGCCTCCCAAGGCCAGGGAGATGGCTGCTGCATCTACCTTTGTCTTCCCCATTGGTTAACAGGATTTTACACCCTCAATAGGCCTTTGTTTGTTGAGTGGACTTTGCTAAAGGGGCTAAGTTTGAAAAACTTGTCTCAGAAATGTTTTATGGAAGATGAAGGTGATTTTCCTTTTTCTTTTTATTTTTTTAAATATTGTGTATTTGATGGCAGGTGTTAAAGGAGAAAAAGGATCCTGGGGTCTTCCTGGCTCAAAAGGAGAAAAAGGCGACCAGGGGGCCCAGGGACCACCAGGTATTTCAACTCTTGGGCTAGATCTTGCCTTTGATTGTCATCCCTGAGAAATCCAACTGAGTCAGAAAGTAAGACTAATTTCATGACCCCCCTGACCCCAAGCTCCTCAGAGTTCAAGAGAGACCCAGTCATGGGTAATGCGTGTCCAGGTGGAGCATTGTCAAGAGAGACCAGAAACTCCAATTATTCACGTGCAAAACGAGGCTGAGCCGGATCCCAGTGTCTGGAATGGGGGTTCAGACCAGGACTGGTTTCTACCTCCAACCAAGCCCAGTGCCCACTCTGTTAGCTAAGCCAATATGGAGTCACGTCCACTGGGAAATAATCATGGCTGCCAACTTGGAGACTTTAATTTTTAAATTTCCGAGATTGCGATTGCAAAGTTTACGAAGCACGTCTTTTTCAGGCCCTCCGATGGATCCAACATACCTGAGACATTTTCTGAACAGCTTGAAGGTGAGTATTTCTTATCTAAATGTGGGCCTGTGTTTCCAAGTTCTTAGGCTTATGTCAGAGACTGGTTCATCCTTCCGATGCCAAACGTTCTTTGAATGTTCTCTGCTTCCAGGGGGAGAATGGAGACAGGGGGTTCAAAGGAGAAAAAGGAGACTCCGTCGGCGACTTCTCTGTGTCAGGGCCTCCGGGCCTGCCAGGAAGTCCAGGCCTGGTTGTGAGTAGTGACCCCTCCACGCCATCTTCCTGTTCAGTCACCGCTCCCCTGAAGCTCCCCCGGTATGACTAGGAGTTGGAGAGTCAGGGGTCAGTCATTAACTACGCGCTGAGGCAGGACTTGGGTGTCGGCCTCCTGTTGATGAGGGGGAGTTTAGCTGAGGCTCACAGAGGAGAAGGAGCTGGTCAAGGCCACGTGCGTTCAGGTAACTTCCAGGTCACTAACTGTGCTGCCTGGTTCATGTTCACGGTGGAAAATCCCTGAAGAGATATTGGTAGTGAACACATCAGATGATGGAGGCACAATGGAAGGTGAAGCAGATATTTTCAGAGGGGCTATTTGATTCTTTTGACACTGCATCAGAGAGGAAGCTCTGAGATAGGCTGTCTTCTTAGGCTGACAAGTTTCTCCTAGCCACAGAAGAGGACATCAAGTTATGCCTCTAACAAGATTACTATGAGACCATTGACCCTCAGGGACCATAAGCAAACTCTGGTCCCAGAGCTTGCCGTGAGGGTAGGCCCAGCAAAGCCAGGAGACCAGGCTTCTGCTTCTAATGAGCTCCACTGCTAATTTGCATTGAGGCCTTGGTCTAGTCCTGTCCTCAATCTAGGTCTCAGTGTCTTTATCTGTGAATCGCAGAAGCTAGACTTGATGATCTTCTGAGTTCAGGGCTCTCTGGGGTTCTCTGGAGTGTCATTCAGTATAATGACTGGGCATACACCATCCAAATTGTACCCAAGACTGAGGGTAATGATGACAATAGCTGGTATTTATTGACTTCTTACAAATGCCCTCTTAAAAAGAATAGGCAAGACTTCTAGTGATTAATGGTGCTTTCTCTCTTCTGTTTCTAAAACCTTGCCTTGACAGGGTCAGAAAGGGGAGACTGTCGTTGGGCCCCAGGGACCCCCAGGTGTTCCTGGCCTGCCTGGGCCACCTGGCTTTGGAAGACCTGGTTCTCCTGGGCCACCAGGACCCCCAGGGCCACCAGGACCTCCGGCTATCCTAGGAGCAGGTTAGTACCATGAGTGGTGCCCTCATTTATGCTGTTGTTGTGCTCAGGGTCACCACATCTGGTGGCAAGTCAGCCACACTGACAGGGCTGTTTCCTGGACGGAACTTTCTTTCTCTCTCTCTTTCTCTTTCTTTCTTTTTTTTTTTAAATGTAAAATTGAGATAATTCGCATGCCATGAAATTTACCCATTACAAGTGTACCATTCAATGGTTTTAAATATATTCACAGGGTAGTACAGCCATCACCACTCTAATTCCAGTACAGTTTCATCACCCCAGAAAGAAACCTTGTACCAATTAGCAGACTCCTCTTTTCCTCCTCCTCCCGGGCCCTGGCAGCCAATGATCTGCTTCCTATATCTACAGATGTGCCTATTCTGGACATTTCATATAAATGGAATCATATATCATGTGACCTTTGGTGTTTGGCTTCTTGCACTTAGCATAGTGTTTTCAAGGGTCATCACGTTGTATCAGAACTGCATTCCTTTTTCTGGCTGCTTAATATTCCATTGTTACATTTTGTTTATCTATTCATCAACTGATGGACATTTGAGTTGTTTCTACTCTTTGGCTGTTATAAATAATGCTGCTATGAACATCGTGTACAAGTTTTTGTGTATGTTTTCAGTTCTCTTGGGTATATAGCTAAGAGTGGAATTGCTGGGTCATACATGTTTGACTCTGAGGAACCTTATCAGACTGTTTCCAAAGTGGCTGCAACATTTTGCATTCCCACCAGTTTCTATCGTCAGCTAGAAATCTTGGCCTTTCTTCTCAATTTTAGTTTGAAAAGTCCTGGGATGGGGCAAGTCTTGGGAAAGGATTTTGATTGCCTGACTTGGGCCAGATGCCCAGTCTTAGAGCAGTCACCTATGTTCTTTCCACTGTGCCCATGGTGGAGAGTCATGCCAGCAGCAGTTACAGCATGACCACATCGTTTGTTGTTGTTTGGGTTGGCATGAGCCAGGTGTGATGGAGCACACTTGGGAAGATATCTGCAGTGTCTGGGGCATCGGGGAGAACTTTACCCAGGAGGTGACTTTGGGGCCAGGGCTTTGACTTAGTCTTGGATCTTTAGGCTGCAAGTGACAGAAATAAAACTCAGACTAGATGAAGCAAAAGTGGGACGTCCTGGATGTGAAGGAGGGGGTTAGTGGGGCAGACCGCAGCAGGACCTCAGGTACAGCCAGAGCCAGGAATCGCGGGGTCTCTGGCCGTCTCCCTTCCAGCTTCCCTCTGTGCGAGCTTCATGCTTCTTCACCACAGACCACATCCTCTGCACGGTGGAAAATACGGTTACTAGCAACTGACAGCTTCTATCTTCAGCTGGAAATCTTGGCCTTTCTTTTCAGTTTTAGTTTGAAGATCCTGGGATGGGGCACGTCTTTGGAGAGGATTTTGATTGTCCTGACTCGGGCCAGATGCTCAGTCTTGGAGCAGTCACCTGTGGCTAGGGTTAGGGTAACATGAGAATATGGCAGCTCCTTCTGGAACCAAATGGTTGTGGAGGTGAAGGGGGAAATCCCAAGAGATGGTGAAGAGACTGGTCCTGCAAAAGAAGAAGGTGCTGGGTGGACAAAGCCAGGGGTGCCACTCAACCTTGAAGGGTGAGCAGGAGTTACAGGAGGGGGGGCATTACAGGAGAGTACGGGATACAGAGAATCTGTTATCCATAGCAGCCCTACACTGGGGGTCCCCGAGGCTCCTTGCTCAGTAGAACAAAGATGGCCCCTCATATCTTGTACGCCAATTCACAACGCTCTCTTATTCATGATCCCACTTAATCCTCACAGCAACCTTGGGAGGGAGATGAAATGGAAGCTACTATAAAACTCATTTCATGCATGAAGACACTGACACTCAGAGAGGTTCAGAGATGCGCTCAGGTCACAAACACTAGTAAGAGGCGTGGCTGGGCTCCCAGTCAATGGACGTCCACCACCTGTGTGGATTTTCAAATCCTGTGTCGGAACTGCAGACTTAGTTGCAATGACCTGAAAAATCTGAGAGAGCGATTTTACCGGAACTTGTGAAAACATCCCTAACTCTGCAAGAGCCTTGCAGATTTGGGGGGGGGGGGGGGTAGGGGATTAGAGAGGTAGAAGGTCAGGAAAAGAATAGTTGTATTAATATTTCTTTATGCTTGCCTAAGTCAGAGCTTTCTGTTGGGGAACCATAAACTCCCTGAGAAGTCAAGGACTGGCCCCGGGAGCTGTCACCCCACCGACACGTATGTTGGGCTGTGTGGGGCAAGGATATTCTGTGGGGAAAGAGGTCTCCAGCCTTCATCTGGCTCTCCGGGCACCGTGACCCTTCAAAGGCTGGGGACCTCTGGCTGAATGCTGTACAAAGCATATGCCTACTTTATAATTTTCTCAGTTCTCACCACAGCCCTAGAAAGCAGAAATGCCTGTTGACATTTCACAGATGAGGAGACTGGGGTTCAGAGAGCTTGCTGTTTCCCCGAGATCACACAGCAGAGAAGTGACAAGGGGCACCCGAGGCCGTGTCTCCTGGCCCTTCACTGCCGTGCCCTCGTTCCGCAGCCTGGCACTTCTCCCCTCTTTCGGAGCCTGCTTCCTCCGAGCAGTTGTTACCTGCTTGTCTCCTGGGCGAAGCAAGTTGTAGGGGTCAGGACATGTTTGGATGTGAGTGACAGGAAACTCAACTCAGACGGACTGATACAAACGACAGCAACAAGGGGAACGAATTCTCTTACAGAACTGGGAAGCCCTGGGCGGGGCTTCATCCAGTGCTATAATCAAGAAGCCCAGCTCCTCCCCGAACCATCCACATGGCTGAGTCCTGTGCTGGGTCCAGATGCAAGGTCCAGATGCAAGCTTCGCAGCACAGCACGTGGCCTGTGCTCCCCTCGGTGACCGGCCAACACCGAGGCGTCATTGAGAGAGTGTGACTTTTTCTAACTTGCCTTTTCTGCTTTGTCTCAGCTGTGGCCCTGCCAGGCCCTCCCGGCCCTCCAGGACAACCAGGGCTCCCCGGATCCAGAAACCTGGTCAGTATAGTGATCAGTGTGTGTCATCCTCTGCTCTAGAGGGGCTCACTCAGCACTTCAGCCACAGCGTCTGGGGCTGGGACACCCTCGAGTTGGAATTAGGTCTCCATGACAATGGCATTGGTCCAATCTCCCAAACAGAGGGTATTTATTATCTCTTTAGACGACTTAAGTAAAAAGATACAGAGTGCAAAATAGTTTATGATTTAAGTTGTACCATTTTAATCTTTAATTCACTAAACTGTAACTAGAACCAATCATATTACATTAAAACCAAAAACAAAAACAAAAAAACCCAGAAGCACTCGAGTGTAAACAGTATTAGACCGGGCTTGCGCTGGCCATTCAGCCTCTCTGTTCTGCCAAAGTATGTCTCGCGTGCTCATCGCCCTGCAGGTCACCGGAGCAGGGAGCGCCCAGGGGCCACTGTGATGCACCAGCAGAGGGACAGATCCCTCACCAGGATGTCAGGAGTCCTGGGGTTGCTGTGTGACCTTTGCGGGTTTTAGTTGGAAAACTGGGCTGCCAAGTGGAAGGACAGTCCCGCAGATAATGGGATTTTGATATTTGGTGCCTTTGGGGGATTTCTAAGCCGTTTGGAGGCGCACAGTCATTATCTTCAAGGCTAGGTGAAAATTAATTTTTTATAATCCTTCTCAGTGGCAGTGAAAAATAAAAGCTCTCTTGGCTGATATTTCCTTGGGACTTGGTGCTTTTCGATAGACTTTCGCAGCTTTTCTGTCTGCTCCTGGACTGACTTACCTTTGGCAGCTGCCCAGACGGGGGAGTGACAGACCCTCACTTTCTTCCGCGTATTTTATGTATTGACTATCCAGCGAGGCAAAAACAAATTTGTGCGCTTGCTTTCTTTCTTATTCCAAATGAAAACACCCTGAAGCTCGAGAGATAACACATTTAACCCTGTCAGCGCCGCCGAGCAGCCCACAAAACCGGAGCTGGCAGGACTGACCACCTCGCTGAGGCCGGCACCCAACCAAGGCCACTCGGTGCCGCATATAAATGCCACTGTAGTCACAGAGCGTTCTCCTCCTGTCTTCACGTCTCTATAATGATTTAGAATTGTGTTCCAAAGTAATTCACATCTTTGTCTTTTCAAAAAGAGTGTGCTTTAGTCATTGATGAGGTTGTGTAACCCTCTGCGGCACAGTGAGCCTTTCCGTTGCCTGAGGGGTGGCTAGCTATCCTGGACTTGACAAGGAGGCCAGTTGTTCGGGTGTGCCACCACTGTCATGGTGACTGCAGTGTCCGGAATTTTGAATGACCTACAGGTGACCGCCTTCACCAGCATGGGTGACATGCTGCAGCAGGCGCATTTGGTGATAGAAGGGACGTTCATCTACCTGAGGGACAGCGCTGAGTTTTTCATTCGTGTCAGAGACGGCTGGAAAAAGTTACAGGTAATTCTCAAACTTTCTTGAACAAACTGCCTCTAAATACCCTTGAAAAGTAATAATCTACCCCTGTCAGTGCTGTTTTTCTGCTTTGAAAATAGGCGAATAGTTTCTAGTTGTTTCATTTTCAATGCACCGTTTTTCCTTAAAGCTGGGAGAACTGATCCCCATTCCCGCCGACAGCCCTCCACCGCCTGCGCTTTCCAGCAACGTGAGTAGTTTCCCTGCTTGATGTCTTGCTCCTGCCTTTCAGCATTTACCGAGTCTCCCTTGGTGCCCGGCACCCAGCTCTCCAAACTCTGGACGGCCCGCTCTGCACGGCCTGCTCTGCACGGCCCATTATCTGGTGGGAGCCCAGGAGTGGCCAGGTGCTGACAGGATGGTCTCACTGCAGCGCGGAGGGAGAACTGCACCCAGAGGCCGGGGAGCTGTCCTCATGTTGTAGCTGAGTCCTTTTGAGCAAGGAGCTCTCCCTCTCTTGACCTCAGTTTACTCATCTGTGGTATCATGGCTGGCGATCTGAAGGAACCCTTTAATATTTGACAATTGTCAGCAGCTGACATTGTCCATGTCTTAACCCCACAGCAACCTTTAAGGCAGGGACTCCGTCCCGTTTTGCAGATGCGGAAACAGGCTTTGAGGAGGTGACTGGCTCTGTGAAGGGAGTGAGTCGGCGGTAAAACACGGGTCTTCTGCTTTGCTGAGTCAGTGGTCTTCCCAAAAGACCTGAGAATATTCCCTTCCTTTCTGAAGATTATTTTTTTTGTTCAAGCGTGTAACTCTTCCCAGTTAAGAGTGGCCCAAAGACCATGACAGACTCTTTAAAGTGTTCCTCTAGAAACATAGCACTTGCACCTCCGTGTACTCTGAAGAACAGATCGAATGCAATGAAAATAGTCAGAACTGTTTGTTTTCCTTTTTCACCAAACAGCCACATCCGCTTCAGCCTTCACTGATGTCTCATTCAAGTGCCAATTATGAGAGGCCTGCAGTAAGTACAATTTACGCCTCTACTCTGCGAACCTGAATGTGTGTGTCCGGTTCTTCCTCTCCAGATGCATACAGACCGGCAAGAGAGGCAAAGATGGGTAATGACCATACAGTGTGGTCAGTCGTGTGGGTGAGGAAACACAGGATGCTGGTAGGCGTGAGGAAGGTCAAAGAAGTCTGCTTTCCTTGGAGGAGGTGACCTCTGACCTAAACCCAAAAGGCAGATGAGAGCAGGGGAGGGCGGGTGGGCGGGAGAGAGTGGGAGTTCCAGGCCAAGGGCGTACGGACCAGGGAGGCCAGGCGGAACAGGGAGGCCAGGCTGTACATCCGCGACTCCGAGTACTGCAGTCTGGCTGAAGGAGTAGAGCCCAAGGCAGAAGGGAGATGTTCAGTCTGCAAAGGGCACAGGCTAGTCATCAAGGGCGTGTAAGATCACAGCAGTGAACACACAAAAAAGTGGGCAGGTTGGAGAGAAGTTGAGGAGACCAGAGGGACAAACCTGGTCGTTGACTGGACAAGGGGGGGGGGTGTGGACGAGGCAGTTCAAGAACAATGTCCAGTTTTCTGCTTGAGTAACCGAGTGGTGACAGTTTCCTCTCCAGGGTCGTTTTCAGGAAGTACAACTCTTCTCCTTGCTGTCAGTCTGTGCCACTATCTCTACAGACCAGCTTATGCAAAGGTCTTTCTTCCTGCCTCCCACATGGCCACCCAACACACAGACTTAGGTTATTTATACCTACCAAGCTCACACACAACTCTGGGTCAGCAGCTCAACGTGCTCTTGCAGCTGCAGAGCCCAGTACAACCTGACTCAATTCAGTCTTGGAGAGATGGTCTGTAGGGGGCATCTTGGGTCCATCACCCACTCCCAGACAAATCAAAACTTGTCAAGATGGCATGGCCTAAGGCCACTCTTTTAAGCAAGTGTTGTGGGGGCACTTTAACAAAAATCAAGACATGGGCTTGGCAGACACCAGAATCCTGTTTCTTACAGAGTGCTCCGTTCACCACGAAGGAGGTCCTGTAGGGCCTAGTGAGTTCGAGGCACCTGTAGGGTATCTGAGTGGAGACTTCCAGGAGGGAACGGGATATAAGATCTGCAACCTGCGGTGGTCTGGTCTGGAGATACAGACTCAGAGTCTTCAGCCAAGCCACGGCCATGATGACAGGCTAGCAGGGTTCCCCAAAGAGATCTCTACAGTGGGAAGAGATTGGACTATGAGGAGCACCCCTCCAAAAATAGGAACCAATGAAGAAAGATGAGAAGGAGCAGGAAAGTGCAATGCTATAGTCAGAGAGGAAGAAAGAATACCAAGCAAGGTAGACGCCAACAGGGTCAGGTGCTCCCAAAAGGCCCATTGAAAGAACTAAAAGGTGTCCTTCAAATTTAGAAAGCAGAGAAAAGCATCCCTGTAGCATGGAGAGATGCCAACAAGACCCTAGTTGGTTGAGGGGTGTATGGGAGGTGAGATGAGGGGAGAGAGAACCAAGTACAGGTGACCCTTCAAAAAGGCTGAAGGGGAGCACTGAGGGCAGTGGTTAAAAGAATTCTAAAATAGTATTTTATAAATTCTAAAATAATACCTATTCATTGTGGGACGTTTGGACAACAATACAAAGACTGAAGAAGAAGACAGTAAATCACCTATCATTTTACCAGCACTACAGCCATCCACAGAATCATCACGTTATCATTTTGATGATTGTAACATGACATGATACGTGAAAGGGAGCAAGACAGGGATGGGGTAGTACAGCCAGGTGGCAAGGGCCCCAGAGCACCAGGGTTTATACACGGGGCTGGAAGGCAGGTGTCCTGGAAGTGGTCAAGTGAGTGAGCACCGGCTGAAGCCCCCTCCCCCTCCGAAGGGCTGGGATGGAGGAGCATAAGATGCTGCTACCCAAGCGCTGTGGGTAGTGCAGGTGGAACTAAGGTGGTGGGGCTGGACTTCTACTGAGCACGGTGATAAAGGCAGAACCAGGGGAGATAAAAAGAAAGAAATTGGAGAGGGGCAGGCTTAGTCTGTCCTTTTTGAAACGGGGAAGGAAAGGGGTGGTGAAGTGGAGAGAAATAGCGAAGTGCAAAGATGCAGGGGGCAGTCTGGACGCTGGAGTCCATGGCCAGCTGTAGGCACCGGCTGCACACTTGGTAAGCAGGATGCCGACATGGTGACACTTGGTACTGGGGATGTTCAGACCTGAGGGGCAAAGCCGGAATGTGGGGAGACCCCCTGACCATCTCCTGCCTCACCACATGGGGCTCATCTCAAGTTCGTTGGTTTAATACTTTTTTTTTTTCTGGAGACTTGGGCCCGGGCCCTGCACCAGCCCTCCCCAGCCCTATGCTGATGAGATAAAAGTTGCTTCTGAGATGAGATCAAGGAGGGAGATGACTGCTCCTTGATTGTGGATGTATTCCAGAGGGTACAGCAGAAAGGGCTGGGGCAGAAGGCTGGGTTTGGGGAGCAACCGTGTAGGAGAAAACAGACCATGAAATGGCTTTTATTTTGGCTGCTGGTGGAGGTGACAGGGACGTGAAGCTAGGATTACTGTATGACGCCGCGCTTCCAAAAGGGTCTCTCCCATCAGTCTTACTGAGAACTGCCGGGACCTTCCCCTTGCAAGGTCCTTTCCCAATGGCCCCTCGGGATCAGCCCCAGGCCTCCTGGGGAGGGAGAAGAAAGGGCGGGGCAGGGAGCTCCGTGTCCTTCTGGGATCCAGGACCAAAGCCAGCTTAAAATTCTTCTGGAAACAGAAGAAGTCTCCAACAAACGGTGGGCAGGCTCGATTCAGATCTCTGAAGTGCTTTGTTCTGTCTTGTTTTTCTCACATATGGGAGAATTTCCCACCACTGAGAGCTTGTTCAGAGGGCTGACACAGGCCGCTTTGGGAGACCTGAGCTCTCCTTCACTGGAGACGGTCCAGCTGGGGCTGGAGGCCGCTGGCAGGTGGGGACTGAAGATGTCCTCGGGTGTGCCTTCCACTCTGAGAAGTCTAGGCCTTCATCAGGGACATGGATGGTTATAGGACTCGAGGTTTGCCTTTAACTTTTTAACTGTGTGGTCTTCTCTCATTGTTTTTCAGCTGCACTTGGTTGCTCTGAACATGCCATTTTCTGGGGACATTCGAGCTGATTTTCAGTGCTTCCAGCAGGCCAGGGCTGCAGGACTGCTGTCCACCTACCGAGCATTCTTATCCTCCCATCTGCAGGATCTCTCCACAGTTGTGAGGAAAGCAGAGAGATACAGCCTTCCAATAGTGAACCTCAAGGTAAAAGTAAATATTGTCCCCGTTGCCTCCGGGATGCCCTGGTCTGCACAGGGACCAGAGGCAGCTGCCACTTTCTGACATCATCCGAAGTGTGCTGGTTCAAGGCCCAGCCTGGCCCTGATTGGCTGTGTGACTTTGGGTGGGTCACTTTCTTTCTCAGGAGCATAATTTTCTAGTATTTACAGTAGCCCTGCCTGCTTGGATGGTATGACTCATGAAGCAGACAGAAGAAAGGGATAATAACCTCTTTCATTTACATAGCTTTTCTAATGTTTACAAAGTACTTTACAGTCATTATCTTTCTTTTATTTTTTAAATCCTTACCCGAGAATATTTTTCCATTGATTTTTATAGAGAGAGTGGAAGGGAGGGAGGGAGAGAGAGAGAGAGAAAAAAAAATCAATGTGAGAGAGACACATTGATTGGTTGCCTCCTGAATGACCCTGACTGGGGCTAGATTGAAGCTGAAACCCAGGTACTTGCTCTTGACTGGGATTGAATCCACAAACCCTTGGCCTGAGGGCCAATTCTCTAGCTGCTGAGCAAAACTGTCCAGGGCTACATCCATTCTCTTAAAAAAATTTTTTAATTGATTTTTAGAGAGAGAGGAAAGGAGAGGGAGAGAGAAACATCAATGTGAGAGTGGAACATTGATCAGCAGCCTCCTGCACGCCCCCTAATGGGGCTGGAGCCTGAAACCTGGGCATTGCTCTGGCCGGAATCAACCGGGAGGCAGAAGAAAGCACAGGAAGCAGGTAGCTTGGTGTACTTCTGGATCCAGGACCAAAGCTGGCTTAAAACTCTTCTGGAAACTAAACTAGACCCTGGAGTCTCCAAAAAATGGTGGGCATTTTCTTAATATACTTCCAATAAAAATGGGAGTTATTCTTTTGTCAGATGAGGAAACTGAGGCTCAAAAGGAGAAAGAAGTTTGTTCAAAGTCACTGCACTCTAGAATTAGTTTCCTCGACCCCCACATCTGGGGCTTTGGTTCCACCTGAGATGCCTTCGGTAGGGCATTGGCTGAGTGGCATCAGAGAGTAGCTGGCAAGCACTGGTCCCAGAGCAGACACACTTGTCCTGCACCCTGGTTTAGTGTCCTTGGCACATCTAGGCTGACAAAGCCTAGAAAAGATTTCTCTGTTCCCATTTGGGGTCAAGGCGGGGCCTCAAAGGATCCCTCAATGGTATACGGAGCCATCTCCTTTAAAACCACAGAGGTACAGCCCTGTCACTGCTCACACACATCCTGACCTCCCACCACATCTCAGTACTCCGACCTGGGACCTTGAGGCGAGCACGTTCCGTCCTGAAATTACGCGCAGTTTCCACCTCCTGCCAAGGTTCCGCTCCATCCCATTCCGCCACTCAAATGATTTGTATGCTTGGAATGCAGATAACTGAAGAAAGCAGGGCTCCTTGAGGAAAAGGAGGAGATTTAGCTCTGTCATGTGGATAGGCACAAATGTGAAGCTCAGAATATACATATAAAATTTAAAAAACAAAAACAATAAAATGAAGACCTAAAACACACTTTTGATGGAGACGAGACTGTATACATTTTACAAGATAAATTTCCTCAAGAAATGAGACAGTAAAACTGAAAGGGTTCAGGAATGGATGATAAAATCAAACCACAGATACTGAGTCCCCACTCTGTCTCTATGTGTGGGGTTTGTGGCTTCAGTGTGCGGTGACATCTGCCCTTAAAGCTGAGTACATAGCCTTGGCTATGCACAAAAGGTTGCCAGTTTGATTCCCCCATCAGGGCACATGCCCAGGTTTCAGACTTGATCCCCAGTAGGGGGTGTGCAGGAGGCAGCCCATCAATGTTTCACATTGATGTTTTTCTCTCTCTGTCTCCCTTCCTCTCTCTCTAAAAGTCAATTTAAAAAAATATTTAAATAAATAGAAAAAGAATGAGTAAATAGTTCATTTGCAGGCTGGTGGTAAAATGATTCTAATATGGCATTTTGGTCTCTATAGGGCCAAGTACTTTTCAATAATTGGGACTCGATTTTTTCCGGCCACGGAGGTCAGTTCAGTACACATGTTCCAATATATTCCTTTGATGGCCGAGACGTGATGACAGACCCTTCTTGGTAAGTAGGGGTGGAAGCCTTAAAGTATACAGTATGGTAGACAGTTTTAGGAGACATTCTACTCATGGGATGCTGTAGTCAGCTGCTCTCTGGGGAGCTGCTAGCATAAAGCCTCAGGGAGGCAGCTGAGGGCCATGGAGGGGGCCCTGGCCTTGGAGCGGGGCCAGGACCTTCACTGGAACCTTCGACCAGGCACTCTGCTCTGTGATCCTCAGCTGTTCAGTTGTCAGGTGGGCGAGATAATCGGATGTGTCCCATAGAGTTGTTGTAAAAACAGAATAATAAGTGTGAAAACATCTAGAATGTGGTAGGCACTTAGTAAGTGGTAAGTAATGCTACTCTTGGTGATCCTTTACCCCTGTGCTGTGAGCTGCATGAAACCCTTTGACAACTATGTATGCTATTAACAACAGAACTAGCAAACCTTTCCTCAGCATCTACTCTGTGCCACACCTGTGCCAGGCCGGAAGGCACAGTGCCCACGCGGCCCCACCCTTACAGGGCTCACAGCCTACAGCCGAGACAGACACAGACTAGCTGTGATTCTAGACAGAACACTGCCATGGTAAAACGGAGAAGCAGGTGATGGGAGCCGGAGAAAATACTCACCATTACTTGAGGGTGAGAATCAAGAAGCCTTCCTGTAACACAGCGGTTTTCAGCCTGCGGGTCGCGACCCCTTTGGGGGTCGAATGACCCTTTCATAGGGGTCGCCTAAGACCATCGGAAAACCCATATTTCCAATGGCGATTCATAACAGTAGCAAAATTACAGTTACGAAGTAGCAACAAAAACAATTTTATGGTTGGGGGTCACCACAACATGAGGAACTGTATTAAAGGGCCGCGGCATCAGGGAGGTTGAGGACCACTGCTGAAACAGGAAGCATTTAACGGACTTTGAAAGAGGAGAAAGGATCACTGGTCTGCAAATGAAAACGAGGCCGCTGCAGACAGAGAGGTGTCAGGAGCTAAGGTTCAGACTCACGTAGCACAGGATACGATTTGAGAACAAGTGCAGGCTGGATGTGGTGGGGACGCAGTGTGTCCAGCTGACGGGAAAGAGCATTGAGCACGGAGAGGTGATGTGGGGTCAAACCACGGACAGCTCAGGGGGTTGACTTGATTCACTAGCCTTACACCAACTTGTTCACTGAGACGTGCCATGAAAAAGAAAAAATAACATGACAAAATTACTCTTTAGGCCCCAGAAGGTCGTTTGGCACGGCTCCAACCCCCACGGAGTGCGTCTTGTGGATAACTACTGCGAAGCCTGGCGGACGGCCGACGCGGCAGTCACGGGCTTGGCCTCCCCCTTGAGCGCGGGGAAGATGCTGGACCAGAAAGCATACAGCTGCGCTAGTCGGCTCATTGTTCTCTGTATCGAAAACAGTTTCATGACAGACGCTAGGAAGTAATGACCTTCCCATGATCCTTAAGAGTTTCCCAATTTTTCTTATGTGAAGAGTTGACACTGAAATCTAAAATGTTTAAATGTTGTAAATATTAGTGGGTTTTTTTTTTTTTATGACACATTCATACAACAGCAACCAAAGAAAACATACCTCAATGCACTCACAACTGAAGCCATCAAGGACTCAGATCACAGATGAGCATCTGACCCACATACTGGTGCTAGATTCTGTAGGAAGCGCCACGCAGGGCGAATGCGTCCCAGCAGCGTCCAGAGCACGCTGCAGACAAAGGCCTGGTGTTCTGCCGACGGCATCCTTCAGAAAGTCATTTCCTCCTTTTAACCCTTGTTGTTGAGTGTATGACGCCCTTCATGTTTTCTTACAAAGTTGGTGTTTAGAAATATAGCCCCCATTTTAAGTTATGTGCAGACCAAATGTTTTATTCTCTAATACACATCCCTTATTTGCAGCTGCTGTTCATACAGAGATACAGACCTGCGCAAATGATCCTATCTGTAGATTCTGGTATTATCAGACTTTCATGTGTTGTTGTTGTTTTTCTAAAATATTGTCCTCATGCTTTAGGAGTTTTATATTTTTGCTACAATCCTATGTTAGTATGGCATCTGTTTATATCACTCTGACTTGCTGGAAAAGTTTGAACTCCAAGTTATACGAAACTAGAAAAGAAATAACACGTAATTACTACCTTTGCCATGGTGGTCCTTCCTCCCCACCCCGATTTTCTTATTTCCATTTGGCAACTCTTGAATTATAACTGCAATTGAACAAACAAGCTTATGAGGATGACTTTTCTGAGATACCTATATCTTCATGCTGTATATTCTGATTTTTTTTCCATGTAAGCAAACATAAAAGCATCTTTTCCGGGCACTTTCTTTGGTTTGACTTTTTCCCCCCAGTTCCTGTATTCTCCACCACTGATGTGGAAGTGGCCCTGGGTGGGTTTACTCCCCCGTCACTGCTTACGTCGCCTCAGGGGATCATCAGAAAACAGGAAGGTCTGCCCATCATGCTCACCTGCTCCTGCTCGTTCTCTCCCGTGTGGAGGGGGCAGCGGGGGGCAGGGGGAAGAACCCCAGTGAGGGGACCAGGACGGACTGTGACTGTCCAGGACTTCGGACTGATGGGCTTTTCTCTCTCAAGAAGGCGGGGATAAAATAAGCATAATAACAGCTCCCAGTTATTACACATCAAACTTATTCTAAGCCCCATTTACCTTTCTTCATAACTTTGCAAGGTAGGTATTTCTATCTCCACTTTACAAAAAAAACAAAACAAAGCAGTCGAGGGCCAGGAAGTCACCTGTTCCAGGCCACACTGCTGGCGAGTGGTGGGGCTGGTTTCAAACTGAGGACCTGTCTCATTCCAGGGCCCAGGGTCTTTCCAAGAAGCCACTGCGCCAGGCTGCCTCTCCCCCTCCCAGCTCCCAGTCTGTGACTCCTGCCTCTTGGCTTGACCCTGCAGGAGAAACAGATGACCAGGCAAAGGGCATGCTAGGGTATTTCCTCCCATTCAGCTGGGCTGGCTCAGAAATCTCCATGAATAGTCCTGAGATAGGAAGGAAATTGACACCCCCTCCACCAAAGAAATCCGGAACTTCCACGGAGGGTCTTCCTAAATGGAGGAGTGATGAGAATCTCTCTAATGAGTCATGGAATGAAGACAGTTATAGATTGGAAAGCCCCAGAGGTGGATTGTTGAGGACCAGGGTGTCACTGGGGCTGGATGCCGGGCATGGGCAGGAACTGTGGAGGAAGGGGAGTGTGAGGTCCTGAGGCCATGAAGTGAAGATGCCGTCCATGTTGGTCAGAGCCCGCCATGGCCCTGGGCCACAGAGGGGCAGAGTGAGATGGGGGTTCCAGGAGAGCCAAATGCAGGAGAGGCCCCTTTTGCTAACCCCAGGAAGTGGTGTTGAGATTCATGTCCCAACTTCAGTCCTCTTTGTGCACCAGGGGAGGGCAGAGCCAATGGCCCTCCCAGAAGAGACCCTGTACCAACCCCAGCCTCATTCAGACGCTGAGAATGACAGTGCAAATCCTGGGCCTGCCATTCAAGACCCAAGCTGAACATCTGCTTTCCTGTCACTTGCCAAGCCACATGGCCCTCTGCCCAGCTGTTCATGCCCTGCCCCATCTTGGGTAAGCCACAACCACCTAGGTCTAGCCTGGCTCTCTTGCTAATAACCAGTGCACTGTGCTTCATCTGTGACATCATCCCTTCCCCTAAACTGCTTTTTGTCACACTTCCTCCTCTGAACATCTGGTGTGTTTAGCACCTGGATCTTGTCACACAATTGAACCACAGAGGCTAAAAGATCTCTAAGCCCTCACCCTACTCCTGAATGGACCTCCAGCCAAGAAACAGACGAATGCTCTCAGATATAATAAGAGAGGAACGATATGCCTCAAGGAGTTCATCTTCACAGTGTGAGGGGACTTGCTGAGTCCCTATTGTAGACGCTCAAGGTCTGAAGCCTGCAGCGCCCAAGGTCCCCTGTCCGGAAGCAGAACCAGAAGGACAGAAGCGGCTGTCCCATATCAACCCGTATCAGGGCCAGGCCCCCGAGCAGGCTGACTTTGAAGGGCACAAAGGGGTGAAGGAACGGAGGAGAGATGGAGGGTGGGGGAGACAGAGCACGAAGGAGCAGGGCCAGGGGAATCCTCTCAGCCTCCTGGGTGTGGCCACCTGGTAGTGCCTAAAGAAAATGACCAGCGCACCCTCAGATTTCTTCCACCCTCGGGATGTATGTGGCTTGACTGTGTTGCTTGAACCTGGAGAGGGTGCAAGTGGGAGACGGCGTGGAATTCGGGGACCTGTCAGCAATCCAGGACAGCTGTGCATTAGTCCCTAAGGGAAACACAAGTCAGATTCATAAGAAACAAAAGGACTGTGTTGGCTCATGAAACCAAGTAGAAGGACAGGGATGCAAGACACTCAAGTGACATCATCACTTCTCATGCGTGCGCGCGCTCTCTCTCATTCTCTCGCTCGCTCTGTCGCTCTTGCTCTCGCTGTCTGTCTGTCTTTCTGTGTGTGTGTCTTGCTTCTGCTTTTCTCTGGATATGGCTCCCTTCCCTCCAACTGAGCCCGAGATTCCCTCACGTGGCAGGGCTGTTCACAGACAGTTCCAGGCTCACATTGCTCCACCACCCAGAGTGGCCACAGAGAAGACGCCTCTCCCTCGGGGATTATATTAATTCCTGGAAAGGACCCTGATCGCTCTCGTGTGTGTTGTGTGCCCATGACAGTGATTGGCAGCCCCTTCCAAGCTAAGTTGTGCAGAAGGAATAATTCTTCCACCCAAAATACAAGGTGTGCAGTGACCAGAAAACGGGGGCCGAGGGGGCTGAGAAGACCGAAAGAGGCAAAGGAAAAAGAGGGTTCCAGCACAGGCGGCAGCAGGAGAGGGCTGAGCGTGGGGTGTGGGGGGACTGACCCAGAGGGGCAGTACACAGGGTAAGGGGCTTGGACTTGATCCTGCCACTGGTGTAGCACCTGGGAAGATTTTAAAAGGTGAGGGTGGGATCAGATCGCCTGTGACCCACAGACGGTGCTAGCAGGGACCGGAGGCAGACGCGCTGGGGAGCGCTGGAGAAGCTCGTGGTGACAGACCGATTGCCGACAGCACCGCGAAGAGCTGCCAGTCCTTTTCAGTATAAACTTTCAGGTGTATAAACATCAACAAGTGCTTGCCTGGCCAAGAACCCTCTGTCATCTGAGGAGATTAAGCAGCCTCATAAAGGGAACCAGCAGATCAATCAGAGCAAATGGTCTTTTTTTTTTTTTAATCCTCACCCAAGGACATTTTTTGATATTTTGTTCAGATAGAGTGGGAGGGAGAGAAAGAGAGAATCATTGATGTGAAAGGGACACATCAAGTGGTTGCCACCCACATGACCCAACCAGGGCTGGGGACAAACCGCAACCGAGGTACGTGCCCTTAGCGGGAACCGAACCCGGGTCTCTCTGGACCACAGGCAGACGCGCTAACCGCTGAGCCAAACCAGCCAGGGCCAGAGCAAATGGTGTTTATTAAAAATAATTATTACAGAGAACAGGAGCTAACTTTTTTAAAAAATTCAAATTTGTATTTTGGTGAAATGTCAGAGGGTAAAAGAAGCATGAAGTGGAACACGAGGAGAACAAGAAACAGTTCTTGAAAATAAAATATGTAATTGGCCCGGCTGGTACGGTTCAGTGGACTGAGCGCTGTCCCATGAATGGAGAGTTCCCGGTTCGATTCCCGGTCAGGGCACATGTGGGCTCCATCTCCATTGGGGGGTGTGCAGGAGGCAGCCAATCGATGTTTCTCATATCGACGTTTCTCTTCCTTCCTCTCTCTCTAAAAATCCAATAAGAACATATTTTTAAAAATACATGATTGTATGTACCTCAAAATAAAATGGAACTATAGCTTGTATACTATCAAAAACTGACTTAGGCCCTGGCCGGTTTGGCGCAGCGGTTGGAGCGTCGGCCTGCGGTACTGAGAGACCTGGGTTCGGTTCCCGCTAAGGGCACGTACCTCGGTTGCAGTTTGTCCCCGGCCCTGGTTGGTCGTGCGGGTGGCAGCTACTCGATGTGTCCCTTCACATCGATGTTTCTCTCTCTCTCTTCCTCTCTCTCCCTCCCGCTCTATCTGAGCAAAAAGTGGAAAAATGTCCTCGGGTGAGGATTAAAAATATATATATATATATAAAAAAAAAAAACTGACTTAGTGAGTTATCAGGTAAACTTATAAGAATTAATATGATCCTCTCGGGACATAGACAAAAGGATAGATTCATGAGATAAAGAGAGAGAGTGACAGATAAAATGTCCTGATATTTATACAACAGGGGTCATAGAATAAGAAAAAAGAATGAATAGAAATGTGCACTCAATTAACAAAATAGTGAGAGAAAATTTCCTGAGCTGAAAGAGTATTATCTATGGATTAAAGTGGTTCACTGAGTCCTGGGCAGAATTGTAAAAAATCCACCCAAGGATACATCTGGTAAAATTTCTGCATTTCAAAGGATAATGTAAGCACCCTATAAACTTTCATATAGAAGGAGATTCAGGCTGGCATTGGAGTTCTCATTTGCAATATTAAATAGAAGATAATATAACAATGTGTAAATAATCCTCTGGATTAAGAATTGTGACCTTAGTCTGGCTAAGAGGTTGCTGGTTCGATTCCCGGTCAGGACACACACCCAGGTTTTTGGGCCTAGTCCCCAGTGGGGGGCATGCAGGAGGTGGCCAATTGATGTTCTCTTTCA